ATACTTATCCAAATAAATTGGTATTTCCACTAGATTGCGAGCATTATTGTAATAAGTAAATTGATCTCGCGAGTACCTAAATTAATAATTAGTTTTACTAGTAGTAGTCACAACATTATTTGTTGACTTGGGTTATGCGAATAATATTGTTTACGGTAATTTGTGAAATGATACAAGTGGCAGCTAGGTCACCATAATAGTTTTAACGGAAGTACGACATGCTTGGAATCTGTTTGACGGAACAAATTCCAACTGTCACCAGCTACCAGAATGAAATTGAAGTATCTACTCCTCTGTGGAGTCATACAGGGTGGCCCTTTGAAAACGAAACAGAGGCTCTGTAGGTCGCCAAAACCGGATTATGAAAAAATCTGAAACACGTCAACTACATTTTTGAGGGGGATATCGTTCTAAATTATGTACAGCTCTACGGCATTGCCGCTTCTAACGAAATGTAGCAACAATTTTGTTATTTCACATGGAACACCCTGCCTTATTTCAAAATTCGACAGCTTATCAGGGATATACTTATCGATATCTATTTTATTCTCTTCTAACGTGACCGGCAAGTATGAAATAGATTCATTGAAAAAAAATGCATTTTTTTCCTCCCAAAAATTCCCTTCCTTCAGTTGCAAAATTTGCACTGTTGCCGCTATTTATGTAGAAGCTAATAACGTCATCGGCCATTCATTTGAATTACGCCTCTTTTTTTGGTTTCACATTCCAATAGATTACGTAATTCTTATCTCAGATATTTGTACCTGTATAGCTTTTGGGCTAATAGTATCGGGGATATTAATAATGATAATAATAATAATAAACTTTATTTTCCTTTCGATAGTCACAAAAACCATATAGGAACAGTCAAGAGGACAAAACAGTGCAATATTAATATTAATTAAGGGAGTAGTAACATGATGATGTCAAGAATTCATTGAGTTGGCTTTTGAAACAGTTAATCTTCATGATATTCTTCAAATTATTGGGTAGTTTATTGAAACGCTTTAGTGCTATAAAGTTCGGTGCATTCTCTCTGATTTTGAGTTTTGCAAAGTTTTGCCTAGTATGATAATTATGAAGGTCACTATTTGAATTAAGCTTCTCCTTATTCCTAAAAACAAACATAAACATTTCAAATATATAAATACCAGTGACAGTTTGGATTTTGCATTCCTTACAAGAAGTTTTCCTGGGCATATCAAACATACATCGTAATATCCTCTTTTGTGCTACCAACACAAACAAACTGCATATCTCAGTCGAGAGTCTACCTGAGCAAAGTAAAAGTTCAAAAGTTGTTGTTTATTCAATAAGAATCTTATATTTCTCAATAGAAATGTAAGAGAAGATAATTTTGAGACAAGATTTGAGCATTGAGATCTCCAGTTGAGACATTCATCCATAGATACACCTAAAAATGTGACAGTTTTCTTTTGTTCAAGATTTGCATTATCACCGACCAGATTTATAGGTCCTGCACTTTTTTGCCATGTATGAAATCTCACCAAGTTAGTTTTAGTTGGATTGAGGTAAAGATCATTGGAAGAAAACCAGGTACTGAGAGAGTCTAGTAATACACTACTCTTGGTTGCAATATTGTCATCACTTTTGTCTGATATTATAAGAGATACATCATCGGCATATAATATAAAATTGGTATTGGTGGATTTTACGATCTTTCTCGCGCCTTCGACACTGTTAATCACAATATCTTGATAAAAAAACTCGAACATTCATGTCTTATCTCACGGATAGAAAAGCTAAAGTCAAATGGCAAGATGGTGTATCTGACTTCGTAACAACAGAGCACGGAGTGCCTCAGGGATCAGTTTTAGGACCCGTACTTTTCATTATCTATGTCAATGATCTAATGTTCAACTAAGTTCATGTTAGTGAAAGTATACATCCTATTGGATATGCTGATGACGTGTCTATAATCCACTATGACCGAAATGAAGAAATCCTCAATGACAAAATGTCCAAAACTGAACAAGTGATTCAAATCTGGAATGAGAGTAATTATCTCACTCTCAATAATAAAAAGACTCATGTTTTGAATTTTAAGTTGAACAATGGGTCAGACGGAAACGTAATGAAATTGCTTGGGGTACATCTAGACGCAGGTCTGAATTTTTTGTCTCACATTGATCAATTATGTAAGCGTCTAGCAACATGAACTGACTGAGGAATATCTCAGGGTGTCTTATTTCTCAATATTTCATTCAGTAATGACATATGCCTTGATAGTGTGGGGTGCATCAACTCATTCTACAAAAATCTTCATTTTACAAAAAAAAAGTTCTAAGGATAATGGCAGGAGTAAGTTATACAGAACATTGCAAACCATTATTCAAACGATTCAAAATCTTAACACTAGCCTCATGCTTCGTATACGAATGTCTCATTCACATGAAGAAAGAAATGTCTAATACTCGGTCTGGAATAACTAGAAATGAAGATATACATAAATATAATACAAGAGGAAAAATGAATATAAGATTACCAAAACCAAGAATTTCAAAAACCAAATCTTCGTTCAAATATCTCGCCATGAAATTTTTCAATGTTCTTCCAGACGAACTCAGAGGCCAATCTTTGAGTTTACAGGCGTTCAAGAATCGAGTCAAAAACATTCTGATTGAAGAGAGTTTTTACACATTTGATGAATATCTAGTATTTTTTTCACGTCGAAACTAAACTTCAAACTATTTTGTCATTGTTTCACTGTTTTATGTATTTGTGATGTCAAATTTCTCATCTATTTGTGATATATACTCTTATATGTAGCTCGTACCGATCTATTTTATCTAATTTTACCTGATTTCAACTATATGTCTTATTATATTTATTTTATTTTATTTATTTATTGACGTATGTATAAACACTATTGTGTAGTAACATGAATAAATCTATCTATCTATCTATCTATCTATCTATCTATCTATCTATCTATCTATCTATCTATCTATCTATCTATCTATCTATCTATCTATCTATCTATCTATCTATCTATCTATCTATCTATCTATCTATCTATCTATCTATCTATCTATCTATCTATCTATCTATCTATCTATCTATCTATCTATCTATCTATCTATCTATCTATCTATCTATCTATCTATCTATCTATCTATCTATCTATCTATCTATCTATCTATCTATCTATCTATCTATCTATGGCACTTATTTCATTAATATATATGATGAACAACATAGGGCCCAATATAGATCCTTGGGGCACCCCCATGCTAACGTCCGCATGTAATGATGAGACATTTGTATTTCCTCTCTCATTTCTATAATTAATGCAAACATACTGGTTACGCTCAGACAAAAATGATGCAATTCAATCAAGTGGGGTTCCTCGTGCACCAATATCAAATAATTTATTCAATAACTTTCCGTGATTTACACAGTCGAATGCCCTGCTGAGATCACAGAAGATGCCAACAGGGCACTCGCTATGCCCCACGAAATTTGAGATGATATCATAAAAGGCTGTTACTGCCGTATTGGTAGAGAAGTGATTTCTGAAACCATGCTGGCAATCAGAGATCATGTTATATTTATTCATTAAACTGCTAAGTCGCTCAAAATAACAGTATTCAAAAATTTTTGAAAATCCAGAAGGTACAGTGATAATTCTTGAAAGTGCATAATTACATTTTTTTATGTCCTGATAGCATTGCATGTTTTATCACAACAGCATGTTCTTATATAATTCCTCAGAATATTTCATTCCAAGGTGAACATGTTCTAGAAAAACAAAAATTTTCGAATTTAATATATCCGAAACTTATCAGCCCAACATCTGTATATTGCTCGAAATAGAATTTCAAAAATGCTGTTTTTTTACTCAATTTGTTCCATACTGTTCCGTTTACGGTAGATATCAATATAATGATAAATTTTACCTACCGGAAACTCATCATCTTTAATTACGTGCACCCAGAGATTTGAACGTGATATTATATGTTGATCTTGATATCCAAAATATTTACACGTCAAACATCAGCTAATGTGTGGTGTTTATTCATATTCTCATATAGTTTCGAACTGCATAAGTAGCACAACCCAAGAAATAATTTGAAAAATTAAAAAGTATGTGAAAACTAGGTGTGAAAACATCAAACATCGTTTTATAAAGTGTTGACATACTTGTAAGGAAACTTAGAGGCGTTATTAATTGAACAATGACCATAATTACACTAGAAACCCAACAAATTAGAGCAGACTGTGTAAAGTGGAATAATCGAGTCACAATGTTGCATTGTAAATATTGTAATATGATTTCCTCATTATCTCATTCTCAGTTGAAACTCTGAAGGTTAAATTAGATAAATAATATCGAACATTTTCCCACAGAAATTGGAAGTTCATGCCAGATAAAATTTCTGTATTGTAAATATATACGTTACACAGGTACACTCAACATCGTATTACCTACTTTTTCAATGTATCAAATATTTTTTCACAATTTTGACTTCTAAAACCCATCTGTTTTCAGTTTATCGAGTTATTTTTGTTATAGGCTATAGGATCGCTATAGGATACATTTTTCAATGAACAGTTCAGTCCTACCAACTCTCTGAATTGCCCTTAGAAAATATCGAAGACTGGAACCTTTGGCACCATAATACATTACACTGTTTTACCACTAACCAAACCGATTTTTTAAACGCCTCGACACGTGTTTCGCTAACTATGTCTTCTCCTGAAGATTGAGTTTTAATCTTCTCCTGAAGATGCTAACATAGTTAGCGAAACACGTGTCGCGGCGTTTAAAAAATCGGTTTGGTTAGTGGTAAAACAGTGTAGTGTAGCCCTCAGAATGTTCATGCAACAACACAATATTGTTTTTTAATGATTTCATTAAATTCTCCTTATTGAGTTGGTGTAGGTATATTCATTTCCACAATACATTTATTGCCATGAATGTGTTTTATTGAATTACGATTGTCATTTTGCGACTAACAAAATCATTCCTATTCTAGGTCATAGTGAAAATGCCAATTTCTTAACACCAGACAAAAGTAGGACTATCAAAACACATAATCATAAACCAACATTCAGAGACTGTCAGAATTACAAACCGTCAGTGAAAGAAGAGCAAGACGCGGGAACTAGCGTAATACAGGTAATATTTTTATCCTCACATAAATTAAAATACCCAATCCGCTCCATGTTGTGTTTTTGAAGATAAATTCGAAATTTCGATTGTAGCAGTAGTTTTTGATAATATATTCAAGGTGACTCATGAGTGCGCCGCTTTTGGTTTCACCGGAAATGAATCTTTTGTATTTCAAATGTTTGAACACCCAAAAGAAAAGTCAAATCAGAAAGTGCCGAAACATTTTCAATATTCTCGGGCATTATTCAGAACTTGAAGATTCTTAATCATTTAACATTTTTCGAAGAATATATGTAGAAGAGACATAGCGTTCCATGGCGATTACTCGAGTTTCATGATTTTTGTTCACCCAAAAAGTACTCAACCCGCCCAAAGAAATCGAAAATCTTTCAAACATTTATTCTTGAGCTCTGAGTTGGAATATGAATTATTTTCATAAGAGGGTCGAAAGGTGTGACAACTATCTGATCATGTCCAGGAAGCTATTTAGCATCTGTTTCAAGAAACATATCTTTCAGAAATACATTCCTCTAAGCTCTAAGATGCAATTTGAATTATTTTGATATGAGGGTGGAAGATGAGAACAAAATCAGAAAACTATCTGATCGTGTTCAGGAAGCTATTCGACATATGTTTGAAGAAACCATTACAAAAATGTATTCCTAAGTTGAAATTTGAATTATTTTGGCAAGAGAGGGTGATGGAAGAGGGATGGAATCGATGCTACACAAAATCAGACAACTATTCGATCGTGTTCAGGAAGCTATTTTGCTATTTAACATCTGTTTCAAGAACTGATAGTTGGAATTATTTTGATAAGCGAGTTGAAGAGGGGTGGAATGTATGCTACAAAATCAAAACAACTATCTGATCGTGTTCAGGAAACTATTTCATAAAAAAATCTCCCAAACATTTATTCTTGAGCTCCAAGTTGGAATTTGAATAATTTTCATAAGAGGATGGAAGAGGGGTGGAATCGATGCTACGAAATCAGACAACTATTTGATCGTGTTCAGAAAGCTATCCGAGAAGCTATTTAACATCTGTTTCAAGAAAACAAATCTTTGAAACACTTATTCTTGAGCTCTAAGTTGGAATTTGAATTATTTTGAGAATTGATGTTTTTTTGTAAAATTATTTTTCAAAGAGATATCGAAGGTGGATAGTCTTACATGGACCACCCGGTATGTAGAGAGATAGCGTTCGGGAACGATGACTCGAGTTCCATGATTTTTGGTCACCTTAAAAGTGCTCAACGTGTCTAAAAATGTTTTGACTTGAAAAATCTTTGAATTATTTTGATAAGGGGGTGGAAGAGGGGTGGATGTTACAAAATCAGACAACTATCTGATCGTGTTGAACCTGTTTAGCCCTTAACTACTAACGTTCCAAATATATAACGTTGTCACTAACCATACGTCTCACAGACGGGACTATTTAAATGTCTATATAATTCAAAAAGAAAATTATTTTATTTTTGTGAGCTATTGAAACACGTTCTATATTTGGCGAAGAGAAAATTATGTTCAAAATTGAAATAGTAATACAAATTTCAGTGGCGATCAAAATTTCATAGACCTAGTACCTAATGTTCAAAATGGTGATATCGATCTATAGAAATACTAAAATAAAATTGAAATACTAAAATTATCGATGATATTATTGTCATTCTGAATACAGTCAGAGTCGTAATAAAATATGGCACAGAACTAAGGCATAAACATGCAAATTGGAAAAAAAAATGACAATACCTGTATATTAAGATATAGTCTCAATCGTACGTTATATAGGCTAAATTGAACTTTTATTGTTACGTAATAAATAACTATACGTCAACGAGACGGCAATCTATCTCTCACTCAAGATGTTTCTAAAACTGAACCACATACATAGATCAACTTCAGGGTACTGAATGAGTGTTGGGTGGCCATAAATTACGTGGTTGGACAGTGGCCGATATTGAAAAGCAGGGGTAATCCAACAAATCGGATGCTGATATGCCGTCTCTAAGACGTATGATTAGTAGTTAAGGGTTAACATCTGTTTCAGGAAAAAACTTATTTAAAAATTCATTCTTGTGCTCTAAGTTGCATTTGAATTTTTTTGATAATAGGGTGCATGGAATAAGATGAGTGAAATGGGTGCTACAAAAACAGACAACTATCTGATCGTGGTCGATGAAGTATTTCCCATTAATTACAGTCAAATTAAATTGATACTTCTCATTTGATTTTAGCGAGTTTTATCGACATCTTGTCCACGCGGCATATACCTTTGGAGATCTCATTCGTTGCGAGTCGCGTTGCTGTTTTCACACCGTTTTATTGTCAACAGATATATTGAATGAAAATTGAAAAATTCCGAATTTTGTACTTTGCAATCAGCCAAGTTTTGAATCAAATGAGCCCCTTTTCACAATTTCACCTTGTTTCTCATTCATGGCTGACTTTTATTGGTTGAACCAACGACAGTGATGTTCTGGCCCGTTTACTCTTATTCCTATGTGGACCCTCCTGGTTCCTTATTTCACATATTACATGGGGCTCTGGGCCCCCTATCGTCCAGGGCCCGGTACAGCTGTACCCGTAGCGTCCCTGTCACCGTGTTGAACAATAGACCATATCACCGCCATTTTAAATAAGAAACGATTTGAAATAACCAAAATATTGCGAATTCTTAGCTCTCACGAACAATTTTTCGAACCGTAGGGTGTTCCATTTGAAAAAAAAAGAATCATTGAGTTCTGGTGATAATGAAACCAGAAAACTCGGTTACGTTTCATTTGTTCCAAATTGACCAGAAAAAAACGACTATTCAATCGATATTTCGAAGGCAGAATTAAGAAAGTAAAACGCTCCTAGGTATATTTAACGAAATTATGAAAAACTTGGAAAATTGCTGAAATCCCTCGGGTTTTTTTTTTCATGTGCGTGATGGATTTATAACATATTCGGCTAATTGAACATTTTAGGGATCCTGTTGTAATATGTTGTTTTATGTTGTTTCATTATAACTTTTTATAATATGTCTGGATGACAAAACGTATATATTTTTTTGAGTTTCAGCATATGTCTTGAATTTCAGGAATGCATTTTTCACATCACCTTTGGTCTTCAGGAAGAATATTTCAGTCCATCTTGACTTATCATTAATAAAAGTTGCGAAATATAATGCTCCGCCGATTGATTTTGTCCGCATTGGACCGCAAATATCGGAATGGATAAGCTCCAATATTTTAGTCCGTCTGGATTCTGACAATTTTGGAAATGGGTTCACAGTTTGCTTACTTTGTATACAAACTTCACAACTAGGTAGTCTGGCAGAAGATTGCAGTGAAAAACCTCGCACCATATTCTTCGTTGAAAGTTTCCTCAGATCTACCTCATTGATATGTCCAAAACGGTCGTGCCAATCCAATAGTTCATTGTTTTCAGTAGTATTCAATGCAGACGAACATTCTATTGGTTGAAGATAATATAAGTCGCCAATTTTCTTCCCTGATATAATTGTTCACCTTGTTTATTGATCATGTCTGCTCCACTTTCAGAAAATATAACTTTTCGTCCAGACTCTGTTATTTTTGAAACTGATAAAAGATTTGCTTTCAGTTCTGGTACACAGAGAACATTTTCCAATCTTATGTCTTTTGTTGAACTTTCCTTTCGAAAAGTGAGAAACACAGTACCTTTTCCAATAACATCTGTGGTTTTATCGACAGCTAGTCTCACTTTCTGATGACAAACAGGAACCATATTTGAAAATTTGTTTTCATCACGACACATCTGTGAGGTAGCTCCACTATCCAGACACCAATCTGCAGCCACAGTTGTTTCAGTATTCATTGTAACGGCTATCGATATTTCATCTTGTGAGATTTCATTTACTGACACTGACGTAAATTTTTGATTGATATGTAAAAATGCTTCAGCATTTGACGTACTGCTTTGTCGATCTGCAATTTTCTTTTGACATTCAGAAATTATGTGTCCAAATTTGTTGCAATAGTTACATTTGTACAATTTTCGCCTCGTAGAATATTGTGAACTTCTTGGATTCGGATTAGACTGCACATCTCTTGATCCAGGTTTACGTTGAAAGCGACTGTTGACGAAATGTGCGGAATTAGATACATCCGTTCCTCTTCTTGAATGAAATTCATCAATCAGCTTTATTCTTAAAGCTTCAGGCTGTGGCAAATCATCCCGTGCTTCTATGGCACATCGATAATTTTCATATGAACTGGGCAAGCTATACAGAATCAATATTGAAAGGAGGTCATTAGCAACTTCAATGTCCATCTCTTCAAGTTTGTCGACTGAATTGAAGAATTCATTAAGATGTTCAATCATGTTTCCATCTTCTGACATTTTTGAGAATAAAAGTTGTTTCAGCAGTGTAGCTTTCCTCACGGGTCCTCTTGATTCGTATACTAGTTTAAGTTTTTCCCAAGCATCTAGCGATGTTTTACAGTGCTTTATATGACATAATTCAGATGCACCAATAGCTAGAACGATATCTGAAAAGGCTTTCTGGTCATTTTCTTCCCAAGCACTCAATTGCTCAACATCAACTGGTTTTACTTTCTTTCCGTAGATATATGCCCAATGGTCGTTTTTTATCAGAGCAGCTTTTATTTGCAGCTTCCAGGTATCGTAATTGTCTTTGCTAAGCTTTTCTATATAAACTCCACTTCCTGCCATTACTTCCTTGTTGGGATCAGCCTAGCTTATATGAAACTTGCAGCTTACAGTAGGTAGATAAATGTGATGTTACAGCTTACACAGCAAATCAATTACAACTAAAGCGAGAATCTCTGGGCTCATAACCTGTTGTAATATGTTGTTTTATGTTGTTTCATTATAACTTTTTATAATATGTCTGAATGACAAAACGTACCTATATTTATTTATTAAACAAATCAATCATGTTGTTACTTGATCATAAAATTATCAATATATACAAAGTGTAGAATAGAAATGTCTTCTCCAACAGATCCCCTTTCTTGCGCTCCAAGCGATAAAAAAACCTAAATAAAGAAACTTTCTGAACTACCTATTTTAAATTCTTCCTACATATTTCATAATATTTCTTTCAGATTGGTGGTTTGCTATGTTTTGTAGGTGAAGACCTATTTCAAATCACCCCCGTAGAAACACATCATACTTAGATTCTCTAGGACATATCCAGTTGTCTGGAAAACAGCAATTACCTTACCATATATTTACTGAAAGAATAAAGTTTCCGGATAAGTTGATGCATCCGTTATTTTTTTCTTATCAATGCAATACTCAAACATTGATTGAACCACCTGTAACCAAAAAAAAATAGGGGTGATACGCAAATGTTAGGTCATGTTTTCAGCGCATAAGATTTTCTGGACTAGTACTGTCAAGCCTAAAAATCGTCTAGAAAACATGATTTTCCGACATTTCAATTTGGCATACCAAAATTGAGAACTCTATTATTTATTTGATCCTCAGCTATTGTATTTGTGCTTATTTACTGAGATTTGATTCAGGTAAAAGCTTATGATGACGACCCGAGAGACGGGGGAGGCACAGTGACATACAGAATAGTTCATCGTGATGGCGAACGTGTCTTGTTCAGCATAAACAATGCCACCGGGTTGTTGAAAACAATTCAGCCATTTGATCGAGATGAACCTGTGAGACAGAAAGAGCTCTATGTGACAGTACAAGCTACTGATAATGGGAGGCCCCCACTGGCGGATATTTGTACCTTTGCGGTTACCATAACCGACATCAATGACAATGCACCACAACTTGATAAAGCAGTAAGTTCTTTGATTTCGTTTCCCATTCGGATTTATGGTGCGCACTGAGTGCAGTTTCAGTGCAATTAGTTGAGTCACTGAGAATGTTTAGTTCACATTTCATCGATGGAACATGTTCAACTTTAGAGGGTTTTTGGTTGCCGACAGGCCTGACCTTCCGGTCGTTAGTGTCACGTGACTGATCACAATGACAAAAATACGATTTGTTGCGATCGGTCGCTTGTGTACAAAAACCTCAAAAACCGTAAACTTTACTGATTAATTGATAATATACCGAAAATATCACATAACCTGGCACCTTAAAAACGAGATATATCAGAAATCATATATTTTATGAGTCATTAAATTCCTCGATACAGATTTTTTTGGATGAAATAATAATTGTGAACTGTATACCAGAAATCATATACTCAAGTGAATCATCCAGTGATGTAATGCTATTTTTGTTGAAATATAAACTGTTCAAATCACTTAATTCAGAAGAATGTAAATGCCCTTGCCACTTTTTTGAGTAATTTGATTGTTTTGAGGTTATACTTTATATCCTTGAACCGCAACAAAAAGCCCAGGCGAAGTGGTCTTGGATCGGTCGACCTTGGTCTTCAATAAAAAACGTTACCATTTCAAGTTCAAAACCCCCTTGTGGTCCAAGTGGTCGCGACCGGTCGGCAATCAAAAACTGTCCTCTCGCCAGTGCATTCATTTTTGGCAGTGTTCTGTAGTATATTTTATGGTTATGTCACAGATTAACAGACCTTGTGAAGTATTTTTAAATTAAAATGATAATGAATGTTATATCACTTGTCTTCATATACCTAGCATAAATATACACGAATATAAAAACATGGAGGAGAAGACCAAATAAGTTGTTTTACACAATTATTATCATCTCCCAGTATAAGTAATTAAGTATAGTGAAGGAGATATTTACGAAATTCTGCAATTTTTCTTCTATTGTACCTTTAAGGATATTTTCTTCAGTTTCCAGTAAATTCTTCATTAATAATGTAAATTTAATCGTTTATTTTTATAAAATTCAGTTGACAGTTGATTGAAGGATTACATCTGCATCTAATCTGACTCAAACACCCATGAACTTGTTCCACTGTGATTACATTTTTCATAATCTAGTAAGATTTGAGATCAAATTTCGTGCGGTATCAGTGCTGCACTGTAAAGTCGAGTGGAATACACGATCAAATCTCCAATAATATTGGATTGAATTTGATTGTTGTGGTTTCAGGCCTACGAAACCCAAGTGTCTGAAGATTTGAAACAAAATAGTGAGGTTATGAGGGTATTTGCTTATGACATCGACGACGGAGAGAATTCCAGACTATCCTATAATTTCTCCGAATCCAACAATTTATTTTCAGAGTACTTCCGGATAGATAGGGAAACTGGAGTTGTCTACTTGATACAAGCTCTAACATCGGTAAGAACTGATTATTCAAATGAATACTGGCAGGTTTATTAATTGAATGACTTTCTTAGAAAAAGAATACTAGATTCACGAATTTAGTGTATGTTTCCGACAATGGCGTGAATGATCAAGAAGGCCAGAAATTCTCGAAAGCAGATATATCCATTACTGTTGTTGGGTCCGATAAGCAGCCTCCAAGATTCATCAAACCAGATTCTCTTGAGCCCATCGAGCTTAAAGAAAACTTTCAAGATTTTTCCAAGCATCTCGTTACTCTTGAAGGAGAGTAAGTAAATCATTGATCAAACAATATTACATCGTAAGTATTCATCAATTGCTTTTTTCAGATCCAATATAAAAGATAAAGAGCTCGTTTATGAACTAGTTAAAGGAAAAACATTTCAAACGAACAAGGAACAAACATTTTTACTAGTTCCTGAAGGAAACGTAGCTCACATAACCTTAGTCCGTCCATTGGATTATGAAACCGTCACTGAATATACATTGACAGTGAAAGTTAAGAATAAAGAGTCCATGGATACATCTATAAACATTCATATCAAAGTGCTTGATGTGAATGATGAAATACCTAGTTTTTTGGAGTTTTTAAAAGGCAGTGTGGTTGAAAATGACAGTCCTGGTGTACAAGCTATACAAATCAGAGCAATTGACAAAGATGGCACTTCTGCTAACAATATAGTCAGTTACGAACTGGAAGATAACACAGATATATTTGCAATAGATAGAACAACAGGAGTTATCACTTCTAAGGTTCAATTTGACCGTGAAAGTGTCCCACTTTATCACGTAAAAGTAAAAGCCTTTGACAATTCTCCGTCAGCCTTGTTTAATACATCCGAACCAAATGTAGTTCATCAAATTTTTCAGATCAGTATTGAAGACCAGAATGATAACAAACCCAGGTTCACTCATCCAATTTATTATTTTAGTAATATAACAGAAGGTTCTGATAAGGCTAGTCATGTTGGTGAAGTGTTAGCCTTAGATAACGACACTGCTTCACTCATATCCTATAGTATAACAGAAGGAAATCTGAACAACGCATTCATGGTGGAAAACACAACAGGAAGGATAAAAGTGAATGAAAAGTTGGATTATGAGGCTATTGAACAGTATAACTTGACTGTCAGAGCATTTGATGGTGCTTTTGAAGACTTTGCAAAGGTTGTCATTTTCATTGTGAACGAAAACGATGAGCGACCTGTTTTCAATGAGTTCGAAAGCAAAATTCAAATTGAAGAAGAAAAAATTGTCGAAGGGTGCATTATCAAAGTATCAGCCTATGATCCCGACATAAAAGACAGGAATGCGGACCAACATATTGTATACGAGGTAGCAAAAGAACAAAGAGATTTTCTGAGCGTAACTGCCGATGGTTGTATTTCCTTGACTAAACCTCTCGATAGAGATCCACCCTCCGGTAATCCAGATAGACAAGTATTCATATACGCACATGATAGTGATGGTGGCACTAACTCTCTTTTCAGCTCTGCCGAAATCCAAATTAATCTCGTGGACATCAACGATAATGCACCGTTTTTGAATGTGACTGAAATCGTGTGGTACGAGAACCAATTTCCTGGTCCTATTGGTAATTTGAGTGCTGACGATTATGATGGTCCGGAAAATGGACCTCCTTTCACTTATCGTTTAGATAATACTGCTTCCTATGATATACAAAGACTCTTCTCGATTCAGGACGGTCAGCTTTTTGCTAATGAGGAATTCGATAGAGAGAAGCAGAAGTATTATGATATACCAATAAACATCACTGACAGTGGAAGACCTCCTCTTAGCGGCAAAAGTATTCTAAGAGTAATTATAGGAGATGTCAATGATAATGTAGCTGGTAATGGCGAAAGTAGTATTTTTGTGTACAAATATGTAAATGGCCCTGACACGGACATTGAAATCGGTAGAGTGTTTGTGGAAGATCTGGATGACTGGGACGTGAACGATAAAGTATTCATCCAAGGAGACAATCATGAACAATTCTCGTTGAACAAGTCTAATAACGGAATGATACTCATGAGACCCACGGCAACTGAAGGAACTTATGTTGTCAAGTATGGGGTGACTGAAACCCACGAACCTACAATCGAGACACACACTGTTAATGCTGTTGTTTCCATAACCATAAAAGTCATACCTAAGGTGGCTGTCATTAGATCAGGATCTATCAGGATGCATGTCATAACCAAAGAAGAATTCATTGAAAAATCCGAGGTAACAATTATAATCATTCATCTTAAACACAAAGTAATGTTCTCCAAAAAATATATATTTTTGTGTTTATTGGTATATAATTTTGTATTTCAATATCTTTTAATCTTCAATTTCTCATTCTTCTGATTGCAAGGTGAAAAATGATTCCCCATAAGTCATGGATCAAAAGGAGTGGGGTGTTGGGGGGGTCATTTTCAATCAAACTAACCATATACAGTATGATGCAAATGTATGGAATAAATTCATTTCAAAACAAGACGACTTCCGAAAAAATCCAAAAACTAGACTTCAGAACTTCATTAATTGATTTATTTTTTAAAATAGACGACCCTTCGTTGTTCAATTCTCAGTAGCAGACCTCTGCAAGATTTAGTTTATCAAATGATAAGCCATTTTAATTTCAATTTTCTTATGCGAAATGTTGACTGTTGAATAGACGATCAGTAGACCTTTCAAACGAGGTGTCACATGACCCCTGTTTTCATTTGAAAAAATCGTTCATTACGTCATTACTCCAACACAGGTGACGTAACATCTCTCATAAGAATGTCATGAGATGAGGTTTCAAAAATTAAATCTCACGTGTTTTTGGAATTTTTTAAAATGTCGCCCATTTCTGAAATAATGAATTTATTCCATACATTTGCATCATACTGTATGTGGTTATCCTATTGTTGATGGTTTGAAAGTTATTTTTTTTTAAATTTCTATATAAAAAAAATAATTTTACAAATTTCCATTCCCCAGGAATAATTTTCATGGCCTGTGTTTTTCTTCCTATCAATTAAGAAAAATGTAATTTTCTTCAAGTTTTGTTGAATGAAATATTCAATTCAGTTGTTTTTTTATTGCTACTGGGAGATTTAACAACTACCCCACAAAGATAACCAACTTTAAGAAAAAGTTGCCCATTTAATACATATTCCTAAATGGTATTACGTATGTGGTTATTTAACCCTCAGAAACCTATCGTTGCCATATGGCAACAATTTTTTGGACTCTTTAATGCGGCAACCAAAAATACGCAGCATTGTACTACTGGTTTCCGATGTCACAAAATAGTAGTAGGGATACTAGTTGAGTGATTTGTATGTTTACATCTCATTTCAGTCGAACTATTATTCAGTTAGCAAGTGTATTTCTTACCGTGTACATTGTTTTCGTCGAAAAATGGACATACAATGGGCGTAAGTGTAATATTTTTTCCAAATAGAATGATTCAATACTCTTATCGTTATAGTTGGCTACCAGAAGGTTCAGCCAACGTGTCATATACATGGATTTGAAAACAAATGCATATTTTGAATTTTACGTATTTTTGTTTAGCTGTTGCCGTATGGCAACGATAGGTTCCTCAACTGCTTTCACAACCCAATATTTTTTTCAGACAAGGATTCGATCTTCAGCAAGCCCTAGCTATGTTAGAGGAAAATGATGATGATTTTGCTGCACCAGGCGTTAGGGAAATATTCATCACTCCCCCAGATGCTGCAGATCTTACTGATGAGGACTCTGCCGATGAAGATGAAGGTGGTTTAGTAGACAATTTAGGTAGAAATCAGTTATCAGCATCAGCAGAAGTTGTTCTGGAAAATAATCAAAGGATATCTGGAGAACCTTTGTACAATATGGAAGATGAAGAGGTTCAAACACGCCACAAGAGACCCAAACTCAATTTCAAATGGATTGATGGAGACCTAGTTACAAATAAACCTGGGCAATCGAAACCAAACTATTCCCAGTATCAAAACAAGACTGTTGTTGAAGTTTTCGAAATGTTTCTGGATGATGCTATCATAAATCTCCTTGTTGAAGAATCAAATAAATATGCTGGATTTATAAATTGCCCGCCTCCGAATATAACTACATATGAGATGAGGTGTTTCATTGGCATTCTTTTTCTTACTGGTTATGTTGTTTTACCAGGAAAAAGGTTCTATTGGGATACGAGTAACGACATGCACAATGAATTAGTGTCTGAGGCTATGCGCAGAGATAGATTTATACAGATAATGAGATTTTTACACTGCGCAGATAATACCAATCTTGATAAGAAAGATAAAATGTGTAAACTTCGACCATTTATTGACATGTTGAAAGTGAATTTCATGAAGTATTTTGTACCTGTTGAACATTTGAATTATGATGAAGCAATGGTGAAATATTATGGCCGTCATTCTTGTAAACAGTACATAAAAGGAAAACCAATTCGATTTGGGTATAAGGTATGGTGCCTCAATACTGATTTTGGCTACTTGGTGAATATGGAGGTCTATCAAGGAAGTAGCCCAGATAAAAATGAACTTTATAGCGCTCAATACGGAGCATGTGCAGCTCCATTAGTGAAAATGTTAGACGAATTACCGAACCAGACATATCGGCACAATATCTATTTCGATAATCTTTTCACTGGATTTCCTTTACTCACCCATCTCAGAGAACGAGGTTATGGAGCAACAGGAACGATGAGAGAAAACCGATTGCCCAAATCTTGCACTATAACTGACAAAAAGCTAACTAAGAAGAAGATAAGGGGAGCACATGAATCCAAGATTTGTGCTGTAAATGGAGTCTTGGTTGCACGTTGGAACGACAATGCTGTGGTAACTATGGCTTCTACTATCCATGGCATTCATCCGCTTAGTCAAGTCAGAAGATACTCACAATCAGAGAAAAAAATTGTTCAAATCCCCAGACCATACTTAGTTACTGAATACAATAAACATATGGGTGGAACAGACAGGATGGATCAAGATATAGCCCAATACCGGATCTCCATAAGGGGCAAGAAGTGGTACTGGTCTATTTTTACCTGGTTCTTGGATGCTGCACTACACAATTCGTGGATCATCTATAAACAAGCAGGAAGTAAACTCACTAAGCGTGAGTTTCGACGTGAATTAGTACTCGCATATCTGACTCGTTACAAAAATCCACCCAAAGGACCTGGACGAACATCCTTATCCAAGAATAGTATTTCTAATAATAGGGTTTCGGACGATGTGCGCTATGATCGTATGGATCACATAGTGATAGCTGTACCTAATAATAAACGTTGGAGATGTGCAGGTGAAGGTTGCAGTTCAATTGTCAGAACAAGTTGTAAAAAATGTAAGGTGGGACTTTGCATACAATGTTTCGAAATTTTTCATTCAGTTACTTTTTAGACGAGTAACTATGGTTTCTCAGAGAACATGTTTTGTATTCTGAACTATTCCCGAATAAACTTTCATTCAAGTTCATGTTGATATTACTTGTACCCTTGAAGCCTAGCGTTGCCATATGGCAACGTCTCTAAACTTCTCTTCTAGGTGTAGAGTTTGCTCAATATTGCATTTTTTTTAATATATGAGGTCCTTGTGTACTGTTTATTTAAAAAAAATTGATATTTCCAAAAATAATTAATTCAGGCTTTGGAGGGTTAAAACAGCCTTTTTGTAATTACATTTTTTCAAACGGGTCGTATTTTTTAGAAAGATTGAATAACTTTTGAACCATCAACAATTGGATAACCACATATACCGTTAGTTTCATTACAAGTGACCCCCTCTACCACCCCACTTCTTTTGATCCATGACATATGGGACAACCACCCGTATTTACATATTTTTGACATGAATTGAATTTTCTCTCTTCACATGAACTTGATATATCAAGGAGGGATCTAAATTCTGTATAAGCCAGGTGATTTTTGATAGATGAATTCACTTTCCAATTCCAGAGGATTTTGTAAAGAAGATATGAATTCAAAACCCTCCAATGCCCAACACTTTGTACAATCATGCTGTACTACTGAGGGATTTATTTTACTGATTTTCTTGAACGTTTCAGGGGGGCATCAGCAAGAAGGATATTTTGCAACAACAAATAGCTAAAATCGTGAACACATCATTGACAAACGTAGATGTCTTCACTGTCCTTCAAGCGCCAAATCAAAACAGCTCTTACATCGATGTCAGATTTTCCGCGCATGGTTCCCCGTATTACGCTGCAGAGAAAATGGAAAGCAAAGTCACAGAACACCAGACTGAGCTGGAACAAAAACTTGGCCTCGATTTTGTGATGATTCATATCAACGAGTGCTTGAATGAAACCATTTGCGGAGCAGACTGCTCTTGCATGAACACACTGAATATAACTAGAGAACCGGCGGTGGTTTTCACAAATAAAACGTCTTTCGTTGGGATAAACGCTTTTGTGGAACCAGTATGCGATTCTGTTCCAAGGGAAGTGATAGAATGCTTCAATGGAGGTGTACTGATTGAAGACACGACGTGTAGCTGTCCTCCAGGTTTTGAAGGTCCCCACTGTGAGATATTTGGTGTTGGTTTTGTAGGAAATGGATGGGCAATGTATCCGTCCTTCGATGCTTCTAATAAGACTGTAATCGAGTTATTCATCTCGCCACAGAGTGAGAATGGACTGATATTCTATAATGGACCATTGACAGTTAGACAGGCTGAACTGTCCAAAGGGTACATTTCCCTGGAGCTGAAGGACGGATTTCCGTTACTGCAAATCAGTTCAGGGCAAGGTACTGAAGAGATTTACTTGACTGAGAATATCAAGAAGATGAATGATGGTGCCATGCATAAAATCAAAATTGGATCAGGATATGATGTAAGAATAACAAATGATTATGATAACATTTCTGTTCTCTGTTCGATATCATAAATATCCAGGATATTTTCGAAATTCTTTTGCACCTCAAACTTCATTCAAATTTGACACTTGGTCTTTTTTATATGTCTTCAATTTTTATTCAATATCGATTATTTGAATTTCAATTTTTTTACACATAATAATCATAAAATCTTTTGCAATCACAATACACAAAATATTTACGTTTTATTTGAATTAAACTTTCCAAATGATGCTATTCACTGCATCACTAGAGAACAATTGGATTATCAGTACACTAAAATTACCTGCTAAAACGTACATATTTCTTTGGAACGTCTGATCTAAAATCAACTAGAATTATTATATGATACCCATATTTATTTTTTCAAGGTTGATAACATTTTCAACTGAAAATGTATATTCAAATGCAAAATTATATCTTACAAATCTTGTTTAATTATTATATACTATCAAAATTTCCATTTTCCTCATTTTCAACCGTGGGTGATAATCTTTTAGGATTTTACGAACCATTCAATGACATGGCGGACAAGGCGTATTGTCGTTGATCATTCGTTGTGATTTATTCAGTTACCATTTTCATACGAAAATTTCGCGAAATACTGAATGTCCGTATACGCCTATGTGCACTGAAACAGTTCCTATGATTGCCAATAATTTGGACAAAAATTCCAATAAATTTTGAATCATTCGACTCGAATTAAAAAAAAAACGTTGTATAGAGATTAAAAATACCTCTCTAACGAGGTGCAACTTGACCTTTGTACAGTCAGATGCATGCAGAACATGTTGCAGTTGGATGGTGTTAGCGCTCTAATTGTAGAAGTAACCAGAAGTGCTATCACCATCCGTTTGCGACACGTGCATTGCATCTGACTGTACATACATACGCTTTAAAAAATTGGAAGGGGTTAGCTGTAGGCAGGAGATTGACAGGTGATTGACAAGTGATTGACATATGTTACAAAAAAATAGATTTTCAAAGATATAAATCGACATGTTCGGATTTAAAAAAAAAAAAATTTTGTTATGGAGATACGGATATTATTCTATCATAGAGTTCCACACTGTTTACATAATGAATTTAAGACAGGTCATTTTCTATTAGGAAGATACTTGTTTTGAAAATTTCATTAGGCAGGTGAAATATTTTCAGGATATATCAATGGAAGTAGATGACTGCTTAAGTATCTGTTCAATATGGAAGAACAAGAATAACAAAGGGATCATCAGACCCAATGGTCCTCTTCAACTGGGAGGCTTCAAATTCAGATTCGGCGACGAAGAGTTCAAGATGGTTTGGAACCATCTTCCTCCTACGTCTCATGGATTCAATGGTTGCATCCGTAAGCTGACCTACAATAATTTCTCTTACAATCTGGGTCTGCCGTCGGATCAGTATCAAGCCTACCCAGATTGTAACTATGGCGTCATGCAGGCTGTCAGTTTCGGAATCGACTCGAACTTCTTGGTTGCCATACTTGTGTGTCTTGCTATTCTGATAAGTGAGTATTTCATATATTTCATTCTTTTTTATTACCAATCGGTTGAAATCACTCAACTCACCTAACCGATGCACTCATAGTTTATGTTTACCTATCCAACATAAAAAACTTCCGAGCGGCTAAACCAAACAAAATTCTACTGTAAATTATGTATGAACGAATACAATCCATTAGGAAACGAAAATACGTCAATACGAGATGAATAGCGATACTCTGTCATGTAAAACCATGTCCGATTCATCGCGGAAGCTGCTCCACAAAAGCTCGGATTTTTATTCAATGCGATATTCTACTTAACATCTCAACAGAATACTGTTCCCACACAAGGGGTTCAGCACCCAAATATATTCTGATGCTCTTAGATCCCATCCTGAGAAGAGCCATTCGCCTGGTGGGTGATGCCACACTCACTAATCTATTGACATCATCAGAACACCGTGGAAAAGTCGGCGACCTTTCACTTTTTTATGGATACTTCCACGGGAAATGTTTTTCAGAAATCTCTGCTATCATTCCATTACTAGCAATACCAGTCAGACGAATGCGACAAGCCCAGTCAGCACATCCTTTTGTTGTCAATCTACATGTCTACATGTCCAACAACACTTCATCAAAACTCGTTTGCCTATAGAAAGGCAAAGCTTTGAAATTCTTTGCCAATGGAAGTATTCCCAGGAACTTATAACCTCCGAAATTTTTAAAAAAATCCTAATACCCACCTCTTCTCCCATTCCTCTCTAGGCACGCACGATTTTCTCCGAACATTATAGGGATTCCATTTCGTACGCTTCAAGAGATAACAATATATAAACATTGTGTCCAATATAAAGATCATTGGGTAAAGTTGATGATGGTTCCTTCTCAACGTTGTTTTGTAGAGCTTGAAAAGTGATAATGAGAAAGTATCTTTTGTTTTCCTATATCTCTTTACATAACCTCAGAAAAAAATGAAAACGATCCTCTCAATAGACTTCATTATTTTGGACACAGTGTATATACTCACCGGTAAAATAACTTTGTCGATTAGAGTCCGATTCGGTCCTTGTTTTAATTGTAGCATAGGTAAGTTCATGAGGAGCCTGACACATGTGTCAATAGTCAAGAAAATCAGATTTATGTCTCAATTATTACTTCTTACTCTAACTTTGAAACAATCTATGGAGTCATCCAGCTATTCCACCCTGTAATTTGTAATTTTTTATCAAGATACATGTCTATTCTCACATCTTTTCTGATTTGTGACAATAAACTTTTACAAAAGGCACGGGTTTTTTCAAATTTATTGATGTAAATAAGTTTATTTGTTTGGATTTTAAAAAAGTTTATCGAGAAAAGTTGTTTTTATGCCAATTTTACATATTTGTCTCGAATTTGAACGCTCTTTCAGTTTTTTTTTGCTACTAACTGAATCACTAATTATTGACAAAAATATTATTTTCAGAACCACCTCAAAATTCTGTTAGATGACAAGTTGATGTATCGTCTATCATTCAGGGGCGAAAATTATTGACATTGATTTTTTCAGTACTAAAATGATGCCAAAGTCATCTATAAAAATATCATCAAAAACCTCTACAATTCAACCACATTTAGGACAGTTTTGCCGAAATCACAATTAGAAGAAATCAAAAAATATCAAGAGCTTAAAGTTGCAATAGAACTTTCAAATTCAAGACACATGTGTAAAATTGAAAAAGAAACAACTTATCTCAGTATATTTTTTTGAAATTCGAACAAATAAGTCAATTTCCATTGATTAATTAGAACAAATGTAACTTTTGACATGCAGTAAACTTCAGTTGACTCCGATCGAGTAGGTTATTGTTCATCTTTTTTTGAGCAAACTCGACGCGCAAGTCGAATTTCAAAATGAATTATTACAAGATTTTCCCATATGATGCCAACTTTATCGATGACACTATTATACTACTACCATGCTATAAATATACTGATTACAGAGGGGCTAATATATTCTATGTCCTGTATTTATCAACACACTTTTATTGTTTTATTTTCTACTTTTTCTTAGGATGGCGTGTTTTTTCAGTTTCTCAAACTACTATTTATTCATTCTCAACCTTTCAGTAGTCGCGCCTCAAAAAGGACATAGTCTGTCGCTGCGGAGTCTGACTCGGCAATGGAATTTTGGGTGGTTTGAACAAATTTTTCCAAAGCGTTCATCAGTATGCCTTTGGACATGAATATCTCTATGAAGTAAAATGTAGAAATTGCAATAAAACTATATTTATTCGATAACAAAACCCAAAATTAACATAAGACAACTATCGAAGATTTGATAACTAGAATTCGAACAAAAACACTATAATTTGAGGACAAACTGAAAATGTTTCAATCTCAAACCACCAATGACTCATCGGCAATCTCTGCAAATGAATAAAGCGGGTTCTAATAGGCATATGAATTTTTCACATGTACTACAATAAAATTGGGTATATCTATCTTTTTTATCACAGTTGCATCGATCATGTGTGTTTACAAAACGGTATTTTATGAAATATCATTCATCAAATGAGACAAAATATTTGCCTCAAACGCCCAAAATAGCTGCAAAGTGTAATTGCAATATGCAATATAACTGAGACGTCTAAGGTCGCTGCGGAGTACGACTCCGCACTACGCTATGAAATTCAAAAACGAAGCTATTTTGCACATCGGTAGTACTGGATTCGAACTGAAGTCGTCATTTCAGGAAGGTACTGAGTGCAGCGAAATAAGGGAATGCAGTATATTCGAGAAAACTCACGTTTTATATTCGTGCGGAGTGATACGCCGCGTGCCACTACTGGAAGGTTAAATTAGTACGTCGAATGTAATTTTTTGTAGAGGTCGACGAATACAACCATTTTATGACATTCCCGTTTCGTTTTCCAGTCCTCCTTCTGGCGGTGGTGGTCCATCGGCGCAAACAGGACGACTTCAGCGGCAAGGAGATCGACGACACGCGCGAAAACATCATCAACTACGAGGACGAGGGAGGCGGCGAGTGCGACACGAACTACGACCTGTCGGTGTTCCGGCCCAATCACATAGTCGACGAGAAGGAGAGCCCCGAGGTGCCGGCCGACATCAGCGGCTTCCTCGACCACAAGAAGGACTCGTGCGATAAGGTGAGCGGGTCGGTCAGTTCGGGGAGCATATTCATATTATGTTACCGACACAAAACGACAATCGGATTTCCGAGCGAAGCTGAACACTTAATAATAAGTTATGAGTGAATAATATTTCGATTCGATGTGTTCCAGGATCCCGACAACCTGCCGTTCGACGACGTGAGGCACTACGCGTACGAGGGCGATGGCAACAGCACCGGCTCGCTCTCCTCGCTGGCCTCCTGCACGGACGAGGGCGATCTCAAGTTCAACTACCTGTCGAGCTTCGGGCCGCGCTTCCGGAAGCTGGCCGACATGTACGGCGAGGACCCGAGCGACGAAGAGTCGCACGACGGCGGTGAAGAGGCGTGGTGCTGAACGAGACGGACGGTTCGTTTCTGTTTGTGTGTACTTAATCTTTTTTTTTTTCAATGTTGTTAACCAAAGATAAGGAATATTTTTGGAAGGAACTGATCGAGCTCCTGTAAATGTGTTATTCGTATTGGCAAGTATGCTCATATTTTGGCACGTACCTAACCGGGTGATGATAGGAAAGCATCGGACATGGCGTCGTTAAGTTGTTTTTCTTACTAGACTTTTGACATTTGGATCGAGGATTTGAGTTGTTTTTTTCTTGTTAAAGCGTGTTCAAAACCATTTGAAATCAAGCATTTTCTTATGCAAGTTATGATGTCACCAAGTAATACGGTTCATTCTGGTTCAAAAACTTCTAAATGAACGGTTCGAACATTGTTCAAACCAGGAAAACCAGTGGAGGAGTGGGAAAACTTCGAAGTTTGATGATTTGAGCGTTTGAGGTTATAAATATTGTTTTTGAGAAATTGACTATATAGCTTAAAAAATGGAGTGTAATGAGGGTATGGTACATAAGTTTCCACTTTAGGATGCTGGAAATTTTCGAGAATAATTATTTCCAGATTATTATCTATTTCTCTGGACTGGTTCAGCATTTGTGAAAGACAAACACCTTGCCTCATCTGCTGATTATCAATTAAAAATTCCACTTTTAGTGATTCCGATTCCATTCTTTTACACTTCTCAAGGTCTCACAGATAATCATCACTTTCAAAATGTATTTATTGATTTCGGTTTTCAGGTTATGTGTTATGTATCTGACTTATGACAACTTCCATTTCAAAATAGTTCGTTTTCTTGAATGAGATAAATTACTACGTCACGCTTGAAAACGATTCAAAACTAATCTTGAACATGGTTCGACAAGAAAAAACAACTATAGTTCGTTAAAACTAGAGTGACGACAATAGAGGTACTTTTTGTGATTGGTCAGACCTCTAATATGCAGGTGCATCCACCTGTCTCGTTTTCTCCACTCAGTTCCACGCATTCTATTTTGTCTGTCGATGCTTTGTCCCTTTATTTTGCTCTTAAGACACATCACATCCAACAATAAGACATGAAACTTCATACGTCGGTACCTTGGATATAAACTATTAGAATGCCTCTTGTGGGACTCGTGAGTCTCAAATTATGATGATGAAATGAGAATATCAAATGAACCTAACATCAGGTGGGCACTTTTAAGGCGCAAATTCATTACTGCAAGGGAGATACCCGTCCTACTTCGAAACTACTAGGTGAATGTACCTGCCAAATGTAACCAGTCGATACCATTTGATGATAACCAAGCTGATAACCATACCGATGACCGGTATTAACAAATAAATATGAGCTTATTGCAGCATTTTCAATGAATTAGTCCAATCTAAGCAATAAAATGAACATAAATATTTTATAGTGTACTGAAAGAGAAAACGGCAATAGGGATATCATCAGGTATTTTACATCTTTGTGCATAAATATCCATAAATGTCATGTCAAAGATTAATAGGTTAGATGTCACGATGATGTGTCTGTTATTTGAACTTGCGCATTTGAGCATTCGCAGTATATCACCTAATGCTTATGGATGGTCATTTGTCTTCAAAAACGGCCTCCTTTTGCTGTATGCAAACAGATAGAAATTATCCATATTGTTCATTACTATGTATATGTTTTAAACCCATATTATCCATGGAATAACAATTGATAGTCTGCTCCGGTTTTACGGGAAATATAGAGCAAACAAATCCGCTTTCAAAGGCATATAACAAATGAGCATTTGACCTCAAAATGACGGCGCAGGAGACATTTTTCTAAAATCAATATGACGACAATTTGATGTCATTGATCAAGTTCTCCTGCAACCTGATTAAATTGTAAATAAACAAAACATTCGTTTTTTTTTATGAAACATGCGAAAATGTTGATTCATCGCAAACCAGGATTCCTTTTAGAAATCCTTTGGAATGGCCTTTCCCATGAAGTTTCTTCAAAATTTTGAATTAGACATGGTACTAACATTAAAGTATAAGTCACTATAAACAGATAAATGCTTGACACAGTACCTCTCTTAATTGAGTTCAAAAAATGTCTTTCTGCAGCCACAATTATTTATTGAGGTGATAAAGAAATGGGCAGACTTCGATGATTGTGAAAAACAAACAAGAGTCGTAATGCATTTATCTGTTTGTTGATTTGAAAATAGTACCATTTCCCATTTAAAATTTTCAGAAATAATGTCATTTCAAAGAATTACTAGAAGGACTCCTTATTGGCAATGAATCAAGGTTTTCTCATGTTTCATCATAACCAAATCAAAGGGCTTTCATTTATGTGCTATTTTATTAGGTTGCTTGACAAAAATTCGATCAATGACAGTGTCGCCATATCGAATCTAGAAAAATGTCTCCTGCGCCGCCATTTTAAAAATAATTGGCTACTATTGTGATGAGTCATTGGAAAGGGAATTCGGTGCTCTATTGAATGTTCTTTAGGGTTCTATTAAGAATTTTTTGTATGTTCATTTGCGGTAAAACCGGAAGTAATATCCAATTGAAAATATGGGTTTTAAGGAACTATATCTACGATCCAACTGCCAAAATTTTAACAAAAAAAAAACACCTGAATGGCACTCTGTCCAATGATGTCGTTGTCACCCGGTATACAGGGTTTATTAGACGAGTTATGAACAACTATGAACCAATACTTTCTTCCGAAGTATTTTTTGATGATGTCAAAACAAATGAATAAGAATCAGCAAAATGATTCAATATTTCCCTAGAGATCTTTACTTTCTAAATACAAATATTATATAGGGTCAGAGAGTCTATCTGTTATATTTTTATCATATTATGATATATTACCAACAAATTCTGACAACAATTGAGCTACAGCTTGGTTTGAAATCACATCATTTTCAAAATTCAATACATTGAAAAGTATGAGCTGGACCTATCAACTTTTCAAAGATATTAATTTTTTTATTTTGACACCGGCTTTTTTCCGAACTTATAATAAACCCTGTATTTTGGGGTAAAAATATAAAAAACAACTAGTACAGTGAGTGGCAGAAAGTCGGCACCATATGAACAATTTTGTATCATTCATATCTAATGCATTTCTTGATGTCAGAGTACAAAAAAATGCCGCTGCACCTTCAATACACTGAGATAGTGCATGGAATGAAATTTAAATAAGTATACTATTACATTGGTGCTATGAATGTTATTTCATTTGTTTAGAAGGATTTCACATTCATAAAACAATCTATACTATGCATCAATATTTCCTTATTGCTCGGGAGATGCTTTTTTGTGAAATGACACTGTTTACTGACTGTCCGTCGTCCACCGTATGTGAGCTGACAAAGGTGACCGAGCGGTTCCGTACGTATTTTACCTACGTACATACTTTTTTACACAGCTGCGAATTGTACTATTTTGATGAATGTCTTTCTGAGTGGCCTCCTGTCCCAATATTTCTGTGATTTGAACAAAGCTAGAGTAAGTTACTTTTGTAATAACAATTTGCAATTTGGTGGATGAGCCTTATCCACTTAGGTTAGTCCACGGAGAAATTAATCGAGACCAGACTAGTATCGTGCATATTGAACTACCAACAACTTTGACATTCTGTAATCTTGAAAACTAGGAAATGAATTCAAAATCTGTTCGCAGATTTGGAGTGTCCTCTTCTCTTACTCGGATGTTGCATAGAGGTTACTCTTTAGGTTGAAAGATAAAGGGTGAAAATTAAATATATGCAAAAGTGTGGAATCTTGAATGTGTCCCAATAATGTATTCATAAGTTTCACCTATTCAGTAACTGTGAAAAATAAATACATGCAGAAGTGTCGGATCTTGAATGTGTTCCAATAGTTTATTTATCACCTATTCGGTATACAGTATGGTTGAATGTCTCGACATGGTTTTGACATTATGTCGAAAATTCGTGTAAGAAATAAGGTTCACTTGTTTTGTCAGATATCTTCATATTGTCTTGGGCGTTTGATTTACATGGAGAAGTACATTTTAAAAAGTTGAACAATTTGAGACTTAGGAATTGTTTTAAAAAACGCATTGCTGTTCTGAGATCCACAGATCATTTAAATATAGATATGTACATCTAAAATATACTCAGTCAAATATTTCATTTCAATACAAACAGTTTGTTTGTGATTTGTTTCTCAGATAATTCCTCAGGAATCTTGTGTCTCATAAATGAAAACCCTATTATTTTTAGAGGGATTCTTATTCGTCTGATGTGGGACTATACTGTATACAGAAAACTACGAAGCGAATGAACAATATAATTCATGAAAATAGGAGTACACTTGAATTTCAACATTTTTCGTTACATTCATTCTTCACACTGTATCATCTTCTACTATTGACTCACCATTATGCAATATGGAAAACGCTTTAGCCAAAGGAGCTATCCTGATAAGAAAACTATTTTGAATTCATTTATCAATTTTCCAATGGACAGGTGTCGGAAGTTTGGGCGAAAATACTTTTCACAGCACGTTTGTTATTGAACAGTTGATTTTGGTGGAAATTTATTCATTTAACCAGTAAAATGTACGGTAACAGTTTGTTCATAATAAATAGAATTTGTTTCCTCTGGGGACTGCCCTAACTATTCAATAAGCAACGACATAACACAGATATCTACATGCCTTATAAAAACATGCCTTAAACACAGATGGGCGAATATATCCCATGAGGTGGGGTCTGCAATAAATTCATTGGACCACACTATATTTTTCTATTCTTGACGAAAGAGGTTTTTGTTAGTTTTGTTCTAGATTAGTTAACTTACATAAATAGGCTATGTCTATCTAGACCTTATTGTATTATTTATTTCATTTCTCAATAATCAAAACTGAATGCAAATTTGGAATAGGAATATGGAATGACAGAAGACTTTTTATTTATTCTAAAATTCGAACATAACCGATTCCAAATTTCCATTTTCCTATCAATATTAGCCTTGATTATCAACTCAAACAAGATGTGCAATGCCCGTGCTATTCAATGAAGCGAAACACCCGCTAATACAGTTGCTGGAAAATTCCTGCTTCATTTCTCCCACATGAGTGAACCATCTTGTTAGCGTTGATACTCGAGGATATTAGAAATAATTCAGCCTGTAGAGACACTGGACAATAATCTTGAGGAACTTCAACACCAATCTCTATAACCATCTATAATGTGATTCGCTTCCTCATATGTAAATGTCACCTCCCTTCAACCAATCGAAGATATGGATTAAAGGCCTCTCGTACGGTCGATGGCCAGTTGGTGAGTATATGGTATAAAAACTGAACAACTAAAATGACAAAAACTTCACAATTTATAACAGATCAAAATCATCTTTCAATAATGGAGTTCTAGTTTCTCAAGAACCTACCTACAAGATATCCAGAGTTGAACATCAGATGTTTTTTTTTTGTTGATAAATTTTCAACGGTCATTCTTGTTTGAAAGTAATTCGAAATTTGAACACTAAAGGGCGCCGTACATTATGCTATTTCTCGGCAAGTTTGAGGCAATGCAATTTCTGAATATTACTAAAAATTTTACTAAACTTGCCTTGGAATTGCAGGAAAAATAGGACTGGTTCTATTACGAAACTTGCATGAAACTTGCCGTGAAATATCATAGACACATGCGCATTGTTCGATTCAAAATTGCATTGCATCGAACTTGCTGTTGAATAGCATAATGTACGGCGCCCTTAACAATGTTTTTAAGTTTCCGTAAATGACATCTTAACACTAAGTCACCAAGGCAGCTCAAGTTGAAAGTTCCCATAACTGAACTAGTCCTTATAATCTCTACAGGCTGTTTTATGGTGCAATTGCTAACATTAGTTTCTATATTTTTTTCATTCCCATAATTATTGTGTCCACTATCAATATGTATGATGGGTTGTGCTTGCTTGTAGAGATAAATGATTATTGAGCTTGGGGTAGAGAATATGATGATATTGATGGGTTTGAATTATTCAAATCTTTGCCCAATAGTTTATTTTTGTTAGTCAATGTCTATTCATCTACCCCAACCTGAAATTATAGATTTTGTGAAATATTCTTATGTGAAAAAATATATTTTAAGAATATGTTGCAGAAAGAACACTTATGTTGATGAAAGTTTTTATATTTTAAAATTGAACATTCCGTTATACCTAAATACTATTTCTTGTGATTATTATGGCAGCCATAGCTATTAAATATTTTTTTATTATTCAATAATTGATCTCAATAATGAGAGGATTTATTCAAATTTGTCATTCCTTTGTTTACATCAGTATTTTTTAAAATGAGCAGTTAGGAATTATAAATTGATAATTTTGTCAGCTAAACTAAATTAAATTCCGCACACGAATAAAAGTACTGATTATTTATAAGTAGTATTTATTTAGTGGATAAAAGTATTATGACTCCACGTTTCATGGTTTACCTTTTTTTATTTAGCAGTCAATGAATAAATGATGTTGATTTTCAAAATGTGCCTTCAACTAAGCATGCATAAAGTCAGCTTAGTATCATAGGATTAGAAATTTTTGCTCACTGCCATTGTTAAGATGTAACATCTATTTTAAAATAAAACATTGGAAATCATAAGTTTATTTGACTATATCATATACATACATTATGCATATTCTTAGCAGGTCATTTATTTCTCAAAATAAAATTTTGAAAATAAAATAGCATCGTTACACAATAACAAAGAAAAAATGAAAGTTTGGGAACTAATTTTATTAAATGATCGGTGAGTATGTTTTCAACGGAAAAAGGTCGCATGTGAAATATTTACAACGTATTCATCGATAGGTAAATAGTATATTGTTTAACGAGCACGGAATGACAGTTATCAGCATTCCGTGCCAGTAATACACTTTACTTTTTCTACGGCTGTAACAGATGACAGCGATTTTTTTCGAAGGCTTGTATAGCCATGTGATTTTCTCTTGAGAAATGCCCTTCAATTAGACAAAGCTGTCATTACTTGAAATTTGACATTTCCAACACCTACCTTTTCTTCCTATCCTTTATAGGTACGCACGATGTTCCATGAACATTATATGAGATTTTGTAAAATAATTACACAATGAAATCATTGTGACATCATATACGGAAATGAAATTGATGCCTCATTGATTTATCGAACACACGGTAAAACATGAGCACGGTTATAGCCGTAGCAAAAAACTATTATTTCACAGATACGATTTGATTGTTTCTTCAAACTCATTCATCCTCATGATGAGGCAGTGCATTATATCATTAGAAAGATTGAAATCTTGAGATTTTTTTGTGAAATAGAAAGCCTATAACTAGGGATTCTGTTATCAGAATTCTTACGGTTATGATGGTCGATGTTAGCCTGAGTAGTGAGATAAGACGATATTTCAAAGATTTCAAGAAGTGTATTGTAAACATTTGAGGACGCAAGAGTCATGATTTTGAATTTGGCAATTTGGCATAAAGGAACAGACTGAACTTATGGTGAAATTGAAACTTCTCATTTTCTGTTTTCCTGAAACGCACATCTCCATTGCAATTGCATTCGGCCAAAACAGAATCAATAATAACCCTTCATATTCATATTCTCCTGACAGTCAAATTCCAACCGACCCAACAATTTTGGGAGCAAGTAATATTACGAATATTCCAGAAGCTATGGTAGATAGAATAGAAAATGCTCAAATTGGTATTCGGCACAACGAGGAGGCCCTGTATGCAAGTTTTCAGCTTATTCGGAGTTTCGGAGTATCTTAATAAGTTGAAAATTTCTCGATGTTATATGGTGGTTTATTTTTCAGACCCCGAAAATCAACTTTTTCGTAGGGCTTTCAAATTTGATGAACGCAATGTCCTATATAGGGATTCCCTAGTGCGGACTGATGAAAGCACAGCTCTCTAGCACTCCTAGAGAAAGTTTCGAATTTTGAGTTCACTTCTGCTCTGATTTTTTTTTCTTTATCGATATCATGAACTTAAGTTTTAGGGAAACCGAGTTGTTTCTTTGGCATTATTTCAATGATCTTATAGTATTTCCTTTCTTTTTTGAATTTTTTTTGTGTTCTGGTTCCCACGAAAAGGGATATCCTGTAATGTTCAGAGAACATCGTGAGAACCATTTATATTTACGTACCAGTATATCACCTGACGAAGCTACTGTGTTAGCGAAACATGTGGAAATCTTATCGTTTGTGAAGTTTTTACATTTACTGTGCCTTATAGATCATAAGCAGCTGACTGGAAGTGAAATAGCTCCTGGCCCGAAACAGAAAACCAAGTTTTTGGGATGCACTTTTAGCAATTGATCTCACGTGATTTTCCAAAGAAACGTTGTTGCTGATAGTAATACCAAGCATCGATATGGATGTCTTCAAAGGTATGGAATGCGAATATCTCGAAATATAAGATTCCAAATTCTTGTTCAGCACATCGAGAACACTTTGTATGCAATTTTTCAGCTCATTCCGACGCCTCGAGATATATGAAGAAAGTTCAAAGGTGTTAAGCTTGTTTATTTTTAAGACCCAAATTTCAACTTTGTCATAGGATAGTCAAATTTAGTAAACAGGGTCCTTAAGGATGTCTTAGCTTAGTGCTTAGTGGGAATACAGCTCTCTAGCTTTCATAGGAAAAAATTGCAATTTTTTAGACTCAAAAATCAACTTTGTCGTTGGGCCCTCAAATTCAGTACACGGTAGGATTCCTAAGAGATGTCCTAGTGCGGAGTAGAAACACAGTTCTATAGCTTTCATAGAAAAAAAAAATTATCAATTTGTGACCCCACTTTGGTGATTTTTTTTATTGCAGATATATAATTATCATAATGAACTTCTGGTGAAAATGACCTCTTCCACAAAAATAAATTTTTTGCCATCATTCCATGTAAATTTGTCTTCTTGTTTGATTGCAAATATCTGGGAAACTAAGAGAGATTGATAATAACTGACTTCAGATTTTTGTTCAGCACATCGAAAAACCCTGTATAGGAGTTGTCAGCACATTCTGACGCCTCGAAATATATGAAAACAGTTGAAAGGTCTTGTTGACCTTGTTTCTATTTTAGACCCAAAAATCAATAACTTTTTCCGAAGGCTTTCAAATTTGGTATACAGGGATTCCCTAGTGAATCCCTAATTCGAATTTTGTTTCTTCGAATGCGAATATCTTAGAAAATGAGTGAGGTAGATTGGAACAGATTGTAAAATTTTTTTCAGCACATTTATAAAACCCTGTGTGCAAGTTTTCGGTCCATTTATTTCCAATCGAATTAGTTGAAAGAATAAGTTAATTGTTTCTTGTGAATTTTTCAGACCTAAAAATCGACGCCTTCAATTGGAAAAAGTTGCAATTTTTGATCCCATTTATTTGCTCCAATTTTTAAAAGTTCCTTGATATCATGGATATCACTACTGGCAAGCTGACTTGATTCACGTTCTTTGTCATCATTTCAGCCGTTTCAGCGCCCTTCCACAGTTTTTTTTTCTTCAATTTTAAATGCAATTATCTTGACTAATAAGGCATCCAGTATACACACTCAGGTCATTCCGCTTAACCTAAATTCTAAAAGTTCAAAGGTGGTCTTGAAATTTCGTACACAGGGTCACAGGCAATTCGAAAAGATAGCAATTTGTCATTTTCTTTTCTCTCCTTGCGGTACCTATAATATTTTTTTATGAGCACAACGAATTTTTAGCGAAACCGAATCAGTTTACGTATTTTGTCCACGAAAATGAATTATTCCCCATCCTTTCAGTAATCTGCTTATTTCAATCAATCAGAGCTGGGCAAAGTACTCGATAATTGTACTTGAAGTACTAAGTACCAAGTATCGAGGTAAGATAAATTTCTATCAAGTACCAAGTAATATTCCAATAAAAAAGTACCTACTTCAAGTATCGAGTACTTTTCAATAGTACTTGGAATTTTGGGTGTAAGTACTATTTCTGTGCTAGATCAATTACTTCGAGTATTTTTTTCATTACTTCAAGTATTTTTAATTACTTCAAGTATATATTTGAGATGGAAGTATCAAATAATTTTCATTAAGAAATCAATAAATTGAAGCACACAGTGGTCTGAAACTGATCGAAGTATTAGTTAGAGATACGGAGACAAAAATCGGCACCTGACCACAAGTGGCATGGCAGATTTTTCTTTTTTCGAGGAGAATTGGTCCCCCTCTACAACTTCAAGACGCTATCGCTATACCGAGTGTTGAAATGGAAATTTTTATCAAACTCCCAAGTATTTTGTGGCATTTCACAAAATAGGTTAACCAGCCTCTGGGTGACTCCAAAGTCACAGAAAACCCATTTTCTGACAAGCCACCCGATGCGCATACTTTTTCCAGCGTCGTATGAAAAAATGGACCGTACTGTATACTATACCTATATGGCTAATAGTCTCTAACGAAGTCTTTTCAAATGAAACTTTTATCAAAATTGCTAATTGCTATAAAACGAACACGAAGCATGCAGATGATAAATTGATCAACTACGATATTTGATTCGAATCTGAGAAATAAGTTCAAAGTTCTTACCTTTATAGAATTCTGAATACCACTTCTGCAGGTTTCGACAGGTATTATGTGATGCCGTTACGTTACATTACTTGCCCAAGATAAGACTACTAATCTCTGAGTACTTGAAGTATTGTCTAAGTACTTGAAGTACTGTCAAAGTAATTGAAGTAGTTCCACAATACTTGAAGTATTTTTTCATGTACTTGAAGTACACTTTTTTTTTAGTCAAGTACCAAGTAATTTTCGATGGCCAGCAAGTATCAAGTACCAAATTTTTGAAGTACTTCAAGTAATGCCCAGCTCTGCAATCAATACGAAAAAAAACTCAATTACACTAATATACACCATATAAATTGAATGATGCAACTCTATGACCTGACAGATTGTACAAGATCAAGAAAACCAGATTGTGACACATTTTTTATTAATGCACAAATACGGTAGGTAACATTCAAATTGTATACATGTGTTTTTTAACAATATCTCATTTGGTAACTTATTACGAAAAATATGGTTGTTTCAATTTCTGAGCCGTTTATTGTGAAAAAAATCACTATGGCCAGTGTTGGGAGTCCAATTTGAAAAAATTCAATAGGTACATACATACAATAATTGGAGTTCAGGAAATGTGATAATTGTAGAAAGAGAGTTTCTTGCTAATACATACATGAAAACATAATTTTATTAGGTAGGATTTGACTTATAACAATATCAATAATTGGTTTTTCTTAATTATTATTTATATCTAAAGTATTGTCATGAACCAGATATAAATAAGTACATCTCTCGAAGTGGTTTGATGTGTTTTATATTAGACTACAGTCTTTGAGTATTATGCCAGGTGTCAATATAATGATGTTGAATGAACGTATTTGAAAGTATTTTAGAAAACACATCCAAAAACCATCCCTATTTTATATACAGATATATTACAATGTTTATACATATTATATTTTGAAACTTCAACAAGTCATAAATTTTCAAACACCTTCAAACTTGAATATATATTCCTGAGCAGTATTTTCAGAAAAAACATTACGAAATTCAGCGTGTAAGTGTTTTGTTTTCTCCAATGAGTTTATAAGTTCTAATTTCAAGGAGGTGGTTTCTTCATCGGGATTGAAGGAATCAGAATGAAAATAAAATTGAGCTTGTTGATTCAACTCAATCTTATTTAGTGCGATTAAATCATGCGCAAAATCAGTTGAGAAATTTTCATCAATAACATCATACCTTCCAAACGTGTCACCCTATATATAAGAATAAATTGACCTAAAAGTTTGCCAACGTTGTCGAAACGTTGTGCAGCATTTTCAATGTTTGCAATTTTTTTATATTAATTATACGACTGTATTTCTCCTGAATCCAAAAATGTGAAAATATACAGGGTGTGATTCAGAAATTACAGGGGCGGCCCGATTCTCGTGTGGCCACCAAGTAAATATATGATATATGAAGCAATCGTGGAAGAAATGCACATTCCATAATCTCAATTATTTCTAAACAAAATAATAAGTTGAATCTAAATTGAAACATCAAATTATCTAAAAGCATTCGTCCAATGAATCTTTTCAACATGTCAAGACTGAAAATACTGCTACTATGTTGGAATCATCTATTAGGTCGATATGAATCAATATTGCTCCTCTTATTTTCAGGCGACTGCATATTAAAAAAATATTTTTACTTTTCTGGTATGGTGGCAGAAATGATGGATTCACAGAAAATAATTTGAAATTGTCCCACAAAATTCAGAGATGCGTTTCATAATAACACCCATGGTCCGGTAACGAACGAAATACGATGTCGTTGGTAATTGGTAGATTTATTTTCCAAACAATATTTTGACAACTCATTGAAGTTTAATTAAAATGATCAGAAATACACAGAAATCTGAATATAATATTAATCAATAGAACTTTGGAAATAACTGGGAAAATATCTGTTGAAGTCGGATAATTGAGAGTGAAAGTATGGATACTTAAAGAATAGATTAATCTATTGTTGAAAGCTAGTTAACTTCAACAATCGAACGCCCTGGGAGAATATAATACTGAAACAATTACGAATGCCCTGATATTGAAATGGTTCACTCCGTCCTACACTTTATTGAAACGCACCTCACAGCTATATCGGCGATATTATCGCCAAGAACAGTTATTTGAAGAACAGCACTAAATCTTCTTGGAACACTGCAAATAATTTCAGCATTTGCATTCGCTGGATGAAAATGTCAGTAGGTAGGTACCGAAATTTTTGGATGTGTACGAGAAATCAATATAAAACACAACAGGAACCGGCAGATATCTGGTATTAATTTCACACAAATATAATACATCTATAGCATGTCAAATGACAAGGTTAAACAATTTTCTCGATATTTCAGCTGAAACTTCATGAAACAGTTCAGCAAAATATAACAATATGCGTATATATTGTTATAGAAGCAGCACCGATATTCTGGGTAAATTCTTGAGTTTTTTGCATTATCATTCAAGTTTATAAAGTTTCAGCAGAAATCTAGCAACTACATCGAAAACATCAACCAAACATAGTTTTTTATATTATATCTTGAAACATTGATTTTTTCCATGCAAATAACACTTTTGGCAAGTTGTGAAATGTTGATATGAGTACCTAAGTCTTTTTAAGATACAGTATGAAGAAACTCAATCAGATATATAATTGTCATCAACCAATTTCACAACTGGGTTATAAGGCTGCCAGCGCCATCTGACTGTTTCATCAACTTTGACATTACTCATATTTGTTTGAAAACTCCAATATATTCATATTTTGACTGGGTAATGAAAGCTCTGTGATAACAATGTAGAATAAACTAATATTAGAAAATTAACTGAGAATTATGTACAACTTAGGTAGATTTTGTCCGCGAAATTCTATAAAAAATTATTAGGTACACAATAAAAAATTCAATTTTCAACTGCACACACACATACATACATTCATTCATTCTATAAACTATAAAATATTACTGTTTAAAACTAACAAAACGTTCCAGTACGATTAAATCCTATATATACAAAATTGGAAAATAACTTTCAAATATCATCAGCAGGAAGATTTTTCAAAATATTAAAAATTCAGTACATTTTCATCTTTCTAGCTAAATTAAATGCATTAATCACTAATATACAGTACACTTCAGAAGTCACTTTTCAACTGAAAGGGAAACGCTGTGATAGATAGCTCATCACTCCAAATTCGAAAACCCTTATTTTTTCGTTACTATTTTGTGTCAAACACGACTATTGAATGAATCGGTTTGTAATTTGAAAACCCCCGGCACCCAAGATATTCTCAAGAACCGTAATGTGAAATGATCATGAGATTCTTTAGTTTTTATTAGCATCTGCTCACACACAAAAAATTCTACTTCTTAAAAGATTCGAATTATGGCCTTGCCAGAAAATATTTTCTCACAAATTGATCATGACCCCGAAGCTCGATTAGACTTACTAAACCGTTTTCATAATTGATATATGGTATTGATTCGGGATTCTATAGTTCCTTAAGGAATTCCATTCCATATAATGCATTCTACATTCAGGTAAAGATTTTTTATAAAAAAATGAAACACCGCACAATCATGTTTTGGTGTTCACATATCATATTATCAAAGGTGTTAACACCTTTAGAAGGGAACAAGTGTAAAAAATACAAAATTATTAAAGCTATAGATCACGTCAACTTTCTTCATTGTTGGAAATGAATTTTGAATGCATTCATTCCTAACCTATGAACCGAACTGTATGAATTTTGTATAAGTATGTGTGCGCAACATGTGAAGCGGAAACGTAATTTGAGAACACAACTAGCAATGGTAGGTTTCACAAAAAAACCATTGTTCTGATGGCGCCACTAGCGTGTGAAGTCTTCCTAACCAATCACAAGAACGGTAATTGTCGAGTCCGAGTCAAAGTCATCTTGTAAATATTGTTATTGGCGAGTTTTGTCTATTGACCAGAAACTGGCAGTGGAACTTCCCTGTAGATAAATGCCCCTATACAGTGTTGTTTCTGTGAGGTTTGAATTGAAATGAAACTACATTTAAAATCTAGATGTCTGTAACCAGCGTTTTCATTATGATAAAATTGAGGATTCCGTTATATTAACGAATATCAAGCAAGGTGATGCATCTCTATGAATATAAACCCGTAACCACCGTAAAACAATAATGATAACAAAATCATCAATTACAGTAACAATGACTTGAAGAAATGAATGTTCGCTTCAGGTAGGTACATTTGTTATATTATCTTTAAGCAGAGTCATGTTCTTAGAAAGGCAGTGAAATATGTTGTATTCGATTATATCCTGGAAGAATCATGACGTTTATCATGCTTTCAAGACAACTTTTCGGTTTGGATGCACTGTATAGGGCCATTCCGTAAATTTGAACACATTTTACAGTTAATTGAATAGTAGAAACAAATTTCCAATATTATAATTTTAGGGTTTGTTCAGAACCACACGAAGAAAAAATCTGGAGAAAATCCAAACTTCGTTGTTTTTTTGGAAACATAATGATTATGATCACCAAAAATATTAATTAATATTGTCACTGTGGATATGTCCGGATATCAATTTTTATGAAGCCCAACCTGGCATTACTGATGTAAAAACAACTCGACTCAAATACAGAGCGGGACAGAATAAGACCAACAACTTCTATTTTGTGATCACCCGTAGGTACTATATATTTCCTCAATAATTCTCTCAATATCAATGATATTTAGGTGGTTGAAGAACATTCCGTAAAGTTCTGAAGGAATTACAACAATGAGATTATGGCACACAGAGAATTATGTCTCTACTCAAATATATCGGCATTCTGCATATTCAGGCCTGAAATGTTATGACTTTTAGGTGGAGCAGTGACGAGCCTAACTTTATTGCTGAGTTCAGTTTGATTTTAATCCAAAATTACAGAGGCGCAATATATAGGAATCCATTTTTGGTTGCTAACAAATTTGATATAAGCCACTTTTCAAGTTTAAATATTATAATTTGTCAAAATGTTTCTCTCGATCGCTCACGCCATCTATCGATGAATACATTGTTTCATATCAAATATAACAACTGGCCAGTGAGTCCATCATAGCTTGTTTTCATCATAATCAACAAATCAATTCCATTCCGGTACATTGGAGATTTCGAGTGTCAACTATTACCGGAGTGATATAACCGGAACCCGCTTTTATCGGCCAAAATTCAAGGTCATTTTTCACTGGAAAAGCTCTACTAATTTTGAAATCGTAGGTTTCCTTTCAATATCAAGGATGGCACCTTCGAAGCGCGCTGCATAAATATACATATGGCATGATCTCACTTCTGAGAGTGCAGTTGAATATAATCATAACGAAGGCAAGTGAACGAAACTATTACGCACGATTTAATACTCAATGAAACATAAGGGGTTTGTTGTTCATTCATCCTCATTCAACCGGTGATTCATGGTAATGGAACGTCCACCTTCACATAGTTAACTGGGAAGTAACCGGTACGACCGTTGACGCTACCTTCGAACCAATTCTCGTCGATCTTGTTCATGAGCATTATCACATCATTTTCCTGGAAATGTTCATAAACTGTGAACAACTTATTTACTCATCATACATTGTTCTTGATTTGTTTAGATATTTCAAATTTCGTACATATCGATTTGGTGTTATAGGGAGATCTGAAATTCAGTACTAGACACAATAGGCATATAGGGTCCCTTGATGTAAATTGACGTATTTGTCATCTTAACAGGGTACGGACACATCCTCGTCTCCTCTCACTCTAAAGTGTTTGTGAAACAGTTATATAGTTCCATTTTTATTCATTTCTGGGGATAAAAACAAGATTTCTGACATTTGTTGCTTTTTAGGTTATATTGAGGACATTGGCGTATCATACGTAATCTCCACATGTAATTTCTCATTCAACTCTACATAATATATCCAAATAATGATGATAATTTTCGAGTTTATGATTTTTTAACTCCAGCATAATCTTTGTGAGGCAGTGAGCAAATATTTCTGAAAGTTTAGTAAGTTTTGCCAAATGGGACTGTTTTTAGGCAGTACCTATCAAATCTATGCTATCAATAAATGAATTTTGATTTCAGACTAATTCTTATGGTTGAGAAATAGTGAAAAATTCTATGTAGGTATTCAAACAAATGTGCTCATATGTCATGTGTGCTGTATTTATTCATGTTGGGAATCATTTTTGATGTTTTTCACGAACACTTAATATTTCCTGAATGTAGGTATAATTTTTTAAATGGTAGGGCATATGCCTCTTTTTTTAATCCTCCGTTTTAATAAAAACTAAAATGTAGGTATTCGAAAACTTGTGGAATGGTTAATTATGTGCACAATGTGAAAGTATAATGTGTGATTTCGTATTAGTTTTACCTCAAATATTTTGCTGATAATATCTATTTACCAATTTTCCCCATTCGGTCACTTCACTTTTCATGTCGAAAGTTCATAAAGCTGACAAAGTCAAATTTGCCATCCAACTGATTGATACCATATACGTATTAATAATCAATACGGATAATCTCTATCTGTTTCCATAGCGAAACATGAAGCCGATTTTTGAAGACAAATGACTATCCATAAGGAAAAGTGAGATACGATCAGACACATACTGCTTTGATTGAAAGGCTAGAAATACGTCATTGTCCACCGAAGGCACCGAAACGCATGTCTTTGATGACTACTATAATAGCGCATGGCGCATGCGTATCATGCCACCAAATCCTTATGGATATTCATTTGTTTCATATTTTTGGCTTCATCCTGGCACCCGTTATGATCCGTATTGTTTATTAATACGTATATGATTGATACAGACTAACGCAGCACATTTTACCATCCTTCCAAAACAGAATTGGATAATGTCGTATTGAGATCAAGTATGAAATTAAAATTTTGTAAGATCTCTTTTAACGCCTTTGAATGTGACGTGACAGCAATGTCATGTCAGGAACGCCAACACACGAAACCAAAAAAGTCACTAGATGATTGAAAGAGAAAGGAGCTATGATCTGTCCGTACACTGTTAGATGACAAATACGTCAGTTTGCATCAAGGGACCCTATAGGCATCCAACTTTTTTCATTCAAAGTAGTAGCACGCAATATGATGAATTATGATTATGCATTAAATAGCCTTTTTGATGATAGTACTACCACACTCCCTAAAATACTGATATAATTGTGACTGTATGAGATTCAATTTTATGATATGGGGTAATCTGTGCTACTACCGCACATTTTCATGAATAATATACCGGTAGATTGAAAAGTTCTGAAATATTTATAGATAGAATTTATACACTCAGACTAGCACTATATTTATCATATTTCATCATTATTCAGTTTCAGCATCAATGAAGTCATCTCTTTTGAATACTAGTTTCATTTGAACAATGGAAGCACGTTCGGAAATATGTTAAAAAACAAGGACAATAAGAGAATTACAACCAGTGAATAAGATTTATGGAATAGATTCGTCCTTGTCTGTTTTGGTTGCTATGAGAAGATGTCAGTTGGTGGCATTCTATCTCAGATAGTGGCAAAACTGGCAAATGTACCAGGCTATTCCAGATCGTATTTGAGAGAATTCTCGAATAAATACGGTTTTTTTACGATAACGATATTGAATATTCTGAAAGGAGACTCTGGAACTTGGAGCAGCGTGAACTATGACGCGATATTAAGAAATGATATATCTTTGTAGGTACGAATGCGAACAAATATGGATCAACTTGAATTGTTTTGATATTTCAGATGTGTTTTCCACATGGAACACTAGGACATCATTTCATCTCCCGTATGTTGATATAAATCACGATGGAGATTGATTACCAAGCTACTTTAGATACAAGAATAAATATCTTTGAAGACCAACCTTGAATCCGAGTTCACCAGGATTTTCTGGATCAAAATCATAGAGTGCAATACAGCATGGTTGCCTAGTCATCGGTGTCCTGGCAGGAGATTTCATAGGGGACGGCAATGGCGATGCTACAATAACAAAACTGTTAAAAATCATCAAATAAAATTATTCTCCAAGTGTTCATTACCTACATAAAAAAAGAAAACTAGGAACAGATATTATGAACACAAGTTCTCGATAAAAACCTTAGTGCAAAGTGAATAAGCCGAAGAAATTATAATAAAATCGACTATCCATAGTGTGAAGTTTCAAAGCAGATGTGATATAGTGAAGAGACAAGAAACAAAAAGCTAGAATTCTTTCATTTTGTGTTGAAATATATTTTTGTGAACCACAACATTCATTAAATTTGAAATTCATCGTTTTGCCAGGCTAATATCTTGATTGGTTCCGAAATTATTCCTTATTGAGAGAATTCAACAATCAAAATTATCAAGATATTCATCCAAATACAGGCTTCAAGTCTTAGAATTTCGGAAAGTATGAATTTTTATATTCATGGCGTTTTATTATTTTTTCTCGATAATGAATCCTATGAATCGAAATGAAATAATATTATAACATAAAACTGCTAATAATAATAAGAAACTATCTCAAACATACAGGGTGACTCACGGTCGATGGTAGGTTAGACGTTTCGCATCTTCACCTGTTCAATCGATCTAAAATATTCTCAAAATTGCGACGTAGCCGCTTCTATCAAAAAGGTTTAGCAATTTCATTTGTTTAAATGAAACACCCCACCCCGTATACTAAAAAATTTCTAACCCCACCCCGTATACTAAAAAATTTCTAGAATCGCCTTCATATTACAATACTTTTTTGATTATCTATACGATATAGGTAGAGATTTTCGAGATAAAAAATAATTTGTGTTTTATAGTTTGTGTAGTTTGGACTGCCTTTATGTTTTCAATTCACCGAAAAATCGCCTCTAGTGGTTTGAAGTTCATTTTATCAAATGGAACCCCCTTTTTTTTCAATGATTTGTAAGATGAAGAAAAATTGACATAGCATGCTCCTTTCTTGATAAAGCCGCTTCTTGTGAAAAACAAAAATTTTTTGAAGTTAATTTCAAGTATAGCCATGGAAATATCGAACTCATAACAGTTTGGTGACATTTATAAGTAATTCATCAATAGTTATTGACAGTGTTTCAACAAATCTCGCAGAATTTACACAAATATCGATTATTCAAACGGAGCTCTTATGAAGTTATTTATTTTTCATAAAAAGCTGCTACTTGATGATTTAGGTATAGGGACATGCTATGTCATCTTGTAGCATTTTTGTTCAACTTAATTTCAATCTATTGAGTAAAAAAAGGAGGTTCTATTTGAAAAAATGAACTTTTCACCATTTGTATGAACAACGGAAATAATAATAATTTCAGCACGCCCTGTATGATATGGAGGCGATTTCTCGGTGTAAATTGAAAACCTCAAGCCTGTCTCAACTACCACCAAAATATCAACTCTTCATGAACACAAATTATTTTTAATCTCTAAAACCGTTATAGAGATATGGGTATAGATGATTATTAACAAGAAAGTATCGTAATAAGAGGGCGATTCTAAAAATATGAAGTTGCTAGGAAATTTTGATAAAAGCAGCAACGTCCCAATTTCAAAAATATTTTAGATCGATAGAACAGGTGACAATATATGTAAGATGCGAAATTTTCAGAAAAATACTCCATGAACGTCCAACACCATCGACCGTGACTCACCCTGTATATAGAGACTCAATTTCAACAAAGTTGAAAAACAGTTTCTTTTTTATTCTTCTGAATTGACTTGGCTGTTACTTGGTGCAGCTTACTTTCCGAAAAAATCCAGTTTAAAATGAAAATTAAAAGATTGGTTATGAATATAATTGAAATGCAGTGGATATTTAATTTGGTTCAACATATCAGTTTCTCGATTTTCCTATTTTTGCTATCTATTGTTCCTTAATATCTCGCTAGACACATCGTGCAAAAAACAGATGAACCATAAACCAATAATCCATATAAGTAACATCACTATGAAATAGAAATTTAATAAGCAACAATAATACTAGGAAGCAGCAGAGAGAAAGAGTTACCATTAGCAGATTGTTGTCCTGGTTGCAACTCGAGTTGGTATGGTTTATGTTGAGGTGAAGACACTTGTGAAGAGCCTAGCAACACATCTTTGTCAGAACAACATATCAGGCATTTCAGAAGTAAAGGTAAACGAGCAATTACAGACATATCGCCACACAATTCAGCCGTAATACTTCGTTCGATACTACTCTGATTCAGTCAGATCCGGAGATACAAACATGTTTTTTGTTTTTCATTTAAAATAACTCAACACCTCATCGCACTCAAGATTGGCTGGGCTGATGCCAAGTATAATACGCGATTTAAAGATTTATTTTTAAGATGGATTCAAGTTCAACTGAAAAACATGAGGGAGTAATGTTAAATGACTTTGATACAGATTGTCTCGAACTCAAAATTTGTTAAAAATTCAAAGCAAGATATCACGTTTACAAATGGGACTTCAACTTTCAGGAAATTTGGTGGGGTGTCGAAGTCTTATCACGAAATGTTTCTTCAACTTTTTCAATAACCATTTTCGAACATAAACTGAAGAAATGATCAAAGAATACCAACCAATTCTGTGATTTTACTATTTGAATTTATGTTTATCTCCAAATCTGACAAGAAATTAGGAAGAAATTACATAATAGTATTACAGGACATGTTCAATGTCTAGAAAACATATACCATTAACATTTCACATCACAATTCTGATGCCTACAGCAAAAGCTTGGCAACGATTTCATTAATTTTGATTTTATTTTTCAACAAACGTACATTGTGACGCGCTTCAAGTGTAACCACCCTATATTTTTTTCCACAGGAAGTAGTATAGTAGTAGTAGATACTAGGTATCTTCAGTGTGACAACGTCAAGGACTCCCTACCCCCGTAAAATCTAGATTTTTGTTCGAATTGGAAATTATTTTTGTACACAAAAAATCATATGTCCGCCCAAATGGATAAACGCCCCCCACTTTGGTGGCAAATTCGCTTTGGATGTGTGAAAAGTGGATTTTGGCTTATTCCAGGTGCTTTCGACTTATTCCGGGACCTTTTCGGGCGTTTTGAGGTCACTTTAAGAATTTTTTTGAATCAACTGCTTTGAAACATAACCTACAAACGACAGAGAGCATATGGTGGTAGTTATAATCACTGTTGTTAGTGTGATAAATGGCTAAGTAAACTTGATTGAAAGCATCTATGAATATTTAATGAAATGAAAGAGATAGATAGATGAACGAAGGAATGCTGAATCAGAGACTGGAAAATTTTCAATTGAATGTGCCCGGAAGCCGCCAGGGTGCATTTAACGAAAATTTCGGGCGTGATAACCAATTTTAAATTTTTTTGTTGAGTCAATATTTGATATGCACATTCACCAAGTGGGTGATATTTTATTTAAGGACTGCAATCGTGACCACTTTTATAGGCACACATTTCAAAAGGGCTGTTAGGGATTTTTCTTCACAAAAACTTACGACGAGTTTCCAGTTAGGTTCACTTAGAACACACCTGTATCGATTTCCATCATATACAGTGTGTGCAATTTCAACTCGCAAGACCCTCCTAAATTTGAACCCGTTGACCGATTTCCCAAAACAAAAACATCTTAATATAATACTCAACGAGCCCTCTTCGAAAATGTGGACGAATCTGAAATCTCAAGGCCTACTATTGTTTGTTAAAGGGGGCAAATTTTCAAAAATAACTATTAGGCTTTTTTTTCAAAAAAGTGGATAGCCTATTCAATTCAGACATAGCTGTGTTAGCTTGGTGGACAATTCGCGAAAATCACGAAGTGTGCGGCCTCTGGTGGTTAACTGTACAAGTCTTGCGAGTATGAACAACAAATATGGCGACCATTGTTTTGAATTTCATAAATATGTGTTTTATTTGAAAATAATTTATTTGTTGATGTGCATATTCCAGAACCTCATTTCTCCCTGATGAAAAAACTCGAATTATTGCGTGAACTTTTATTGTTTACAATGAAGAAACCAGTACCTACCTTATAATAATATAATATACATTTTATGAAGCACAATTAGAATAATTGTATAAATGTTGGTTGCAATGATTCGATCTTGAGAATAACTTCAAGTCCTCAATAGCTGGAGATCCTTGTTTATGTAAATCGATGATATTGTTCATTCTGAGCAGCCTCTCCAACCATATCTTCTTTTCCAACCCCTTCACTAGAATTCCATCTCCTTCATAAGAGCCAGTGATATTTCTTGATGAATACAATTATTTCTTCATACCTATACCATATTGTTGTAATAGCTGATTGCTTGTATGGTTCCATTCCAGTCCATGCAAGTGTTGAGAGGACCATTCCGATCATTCCATATGTTTGAAAACTGTGGGATTGTAGTGTGATATCAATGATGAATACCACCATTGTCCACATCAAAATGGCAATTTCTCTACACAAAGTGATTTTTTCCATACCGGAAACCTTGTGCGTATTTCAAGAAGTCAACTTATTATTCACTATTTTGCAAAATGATTTGGAAATAACCAATTTGCAATGAGTGCATACGGCAATGTTTTTGTTGTTCATACTCAGTTGGAAATTTGACGTTGATTTGACATATAATAGAGCCATCTATTGGTTCGTGATTTTCGCGAATAATTACAATAAAACACTCTGGGTACTCCACGATTTCCACTATATGAATCAGATACAACCTAGCCGTATCACGGCTACTTCTTAACTACCTAATATTACTCATACATCGATAAATTCTACCCAAAATACCCGTCACCTTTTACATAACCCCGTGTGTCATCAATAGATCAACACTCATTAATCTAGAAGCACTATACAGGGCGTATATGTACGTAGCTCCTGAATACGATACTCTCTAACAGCTGTATTTACCCCCTTACAACATTTGAACGCAATACGTACCACTTATAGGGTGTCAGTTATTCAATGGCAAATTTTGATATTTCTGCATTTTCAATTCACTCTGTGCCTATCAAAATCAAAGGAGTAGATATGACCGGTGAAGTAATTCAATGGAGATACAATTCGAATACTTAGATAAAAAGTTTCATTGTTGTAAGTTGTAACTTCTACAGGAAGCTCTCTAGGTCAACCAAAAATAAATGAAATTGAAGTTGAAAATGTTTGTACTACAATCCATATCTTTTTTCACCTGAAAATATAAACAATAGTAACTAATTCGAGGAAATATTCTCCATAAGATAACATAAAGTCACCTTAAATTCTCATTCCATCTCGCCAAAATCTGTATGTCATTATGATGACATGGAGCATCAGTATATTTCCTTGCAGTCTTTGGGCATTATTTGTCTGTCATTCTATTTGTGTTATACCTGACAGCTCTAACTATTGGTGATGTGTGATGAACGGTTTTTTTTAGTTTTCAAAATGGAGAACCTCAACTTCAACCTAGCGACATCTTCCTTCGTTTCTAAGTAGTCGATGTGTTTCTACATTAAATGATTCCATCGTTTATATCAACTCCTCAGATTGTGATAAAGGGAGGGTGAATTGAAATACCAAAAATATTACAATTTCTAAAAACTGTATAAGAGGTATTGCATTAATATTTTGTATGGGGTATTTCAGCTATACCTGAATCGAATAGGCTATCAACTTTTTCGAAAAAAAATCAAAAAAAAAAAAGTCTAATAATCGTTTATCACATTTTGACCCCTACAAGAAGCCATAGTGGGTCTTGAGAATTTGAATATTTCAGATTTGTCCACATTTTCGAAGAGAGCTCTCATTGGTAATGTCCAATGGATGGAAAGCTCTTCAGCTAAACTATTTGCCAACTCCTAGGACTTCCGTTCATACCGGAAGTGGGCTACAACTCCGTTATTCAAAGAAAGTTCATCACAGAAACTCGACTGAAATAAAAAGCCTGGGGAGCCAGGATATGTTGAGCTAATTCACATGAATATGGAAGGAATGAGTTTCTGAACATACAGAGTGATAAAAAATTCAACCTGATTTGGCAAATCTCATTATGTTGATAATTCATTATATTAGCATTAGCAATAGCATCTTTATGCAGTGCAAATGATTCTATCTAGTTTGTAATTTTCATGCTATGCGATTTGTTTAACGAATAAAATTGTAAATTTCTCGGAAACCTTTGAAAATACAAATAGGGAAACACAAAATCGCGCTGCAATTTATTGTACACTTCAAATCCGATTCGAAATATTGGATGATCCATTGAAAAAACTATCAAGTTTTGTCAAATCAGGAAGAATTTATGATCAATATGTTTGATGTTGAGGAACTTTTTGTATATATTTATGTGGACCATTTGACCACCTCCTTGCTTTTGAAACTTTCTTCCATTTGAGATACTGTGAAGTTCTCTTATTGTGAAAATTATCAGAACACGTTTGATTAAGTCATAAAATACAGGGTGTTCCATTCGAAATAACGAAGTTGTAGTCCACTTCCAGTATAAGCTGCAGTCCTAGAAATGGAGAATTCAGATGACCAACGGTTTTCATGATTTCATTATCAATCTGTATATTGTGTTCGCATATATAAACAATATACATCAAATAATTGGGGCAATTGAACAAGAAAAGCGACTGAATCTTACGAGAGATTCTTTTATATCTAAGATGATTTTTATCATTCTAAAATACAGAGTTGAAAAAATATAATTTATTTTCTGAGAACACCCAGTATTTTGGAATGATGAGAATCGGTAAAGGTGTATATGTTTCAAGTTATTCTAAGTGAGAATTTTTCGATAGTTTGTACATCCCGATTATTTCAAATTGACCTCCTTTTTTATCCCAAAATTGGAAGGCGGATACACTAGAAGGCGGACACACTGTATAGATAGATGGAAATTATTTCCGTCTTCACCTTATCGAAGGACACAATTTCATTAGTCATCCTTCTTATGAAATAAATGTATCACAATAAGTTATTATACCTATCTTGATAAGCTATAAATCATGATTTTTTTCTGATTGTTGAATGAGGAAGTTCCATTGAGTTTTCCACTGAAAACTTCTTTCCAAATGGTGAAATAAAAATATAATTTTGCTCTCAATAAGTTTTCAGTGGATCACACAGTTAGAGGGAGGAAAGGGGAAAACAAACAAAACCATACCAAACAAAGTTCAAAACACTGAAATAGTTACCTGTTGTGAAACCAAGAGAAAAATCACGAAATAAAAGAAGTTGGGGGTTAGTTGTGAGATGCATAAAACAAACACAAGAAAACCATTTGTGAGCAGAAACTTAAAACTATGTTAATAAACCAAATAAAACGAAATAAAAATACCTTGTGGGAAGTTCCAAGGGTCGAAAGGATCAACTTGTTTATTATAAGACGGTTGTTGTTTGATAGGAACTGATTTCGGCGCAGGCCTTTTGAACTGATAGCCACCTGATATATTACTATTACTTTGGTAATTACTATTATGATTAAACATATTATTATGATTATTTGTATTTGTACCGTTTAAACCATCTGTTACGCCTTCTATGTTCAAATCGTGCAGAGATTTTGGTACAAATTCGACCTTTGGACGATTAGCCGCATCATCTTTCCTAAAAACAAACACAAATGTAAGAACTGTGAGGATTTCTGTATGCGCAATTTCTTACTTTTCCAGAAGAGTTTCAGTCAAAACCTTCAAAACCTCTATACACTGGGTGTGGTAATCTAATAAACCTTCAGCAAATGTTGCTAATTGAGAAATTTGTTCGACCTAAAAAAAAACACATCAAGTGAATATTTCTCTCAACACACGAGAATGTATTTCATTGATGAGGTAACAACAAATAGGAAATAGGAGCAATCTGTCAATAATGTATTCTGAAGAAAAAAGCATTATCTAAACGCAAGAACCTGCGCCTCATTTCAGGAGGAATAGATAGGTAGATACATTTATAAATTTTCGATAAAAATAACTATCAATCCACAGAACGATAATTTGGCTGTTCTGATCTTCAATGGGTCTTGATTTATCGGTTGTGGTACCTAATACGGCAACAGAAAACAATACTAATTAATGACCCAAGGGATGATGAAGAATACGAAAACGACAAAAATATAAGTTGTTCCATTTAAAATTGAGAAATTGATATTTGCCGGATAATTAAAGGTGTCCGGAATTCGGAGAAGCACACCCGAATACTTGAAGTAACAAATTATCAAAAATGACTAGTCATTTGAATTTCAACGTAACATTTTATTATCCACGGCTACTCTATTATTTGAAAAAATATAAGGAAACAAACCAATTGGTGAAATCAAGAGTCTGTAGGATGAGTGATTTCATCTAATTTCGTCTAAAAAAATAGTCTACAAATTCATTTAATAGAATTTGATGGCCACATTGTGATTGAAAACATTATTTCCTTAACCAATTCCTGAAAAGAAGGATATACTTTTTGTATCTTCAATATTCAAATAAACAGTTGCTCAAATTTTTTAGAATGAACTTTAGAATGTTGATAGTTAATGAAAGTGTGAAGAAATTTAGGTGAATCTGAAGTAGTTTTCAAAATTCAATAAAATAAGGTCGAGGATGAGCCAGATTCATCAGTATAATACCAAATGATCAGGAATATTACATTCTGAACAATGATTGTGTACAGGGTGGTCCAAAAGATATTGTACATAAAAGAAAAGTAGATTTCTAAATTCAAAACATTGATTTGAGCCAACTTCCTTGATAAAATATAGACTTGAATATCACATTACTTGTATACAGGGTGGTCCTACTAACTTGATATTTATCTTGATGAATTAAAGGATAATTACGCTGACTCCTGAAATGATGAGTTTTCAATATTTTCCAATTGAATAGCACTCATTTGAACAAAAAAAGTTTTGCCACAAATATTGCTTGTTGCCTTCTGAAAAATACTACGAAGTAGATACCATATTATGATTACACATAACCGAAAACTCCTAGTTCTGGTTTGAAATACATAGCTACACAATCATGTTCAAAAACATTGGAGTTATCAAAAAAAATCTCACCTCTGACACCGTATCTCTCTCATTAGCTTTTATCAAGGCAAGCTGACTCTCAAATCGTAATATTGTGAAGAGGAAAATCTACTTATACTGGAAAATTATTCGTCAAGGTTTACCATGTATATTAAACAACTAGATAAAAGCTAAATACTCGAAGTGGAATGCAATGGTCACAAAGAAGGAGAAACTCAAAGTCATTACCACAATAATCGTTCATAAAATGAACAAAAATATTAGATGACGAGATAAAAACAACTACTTTCCTGGCTATATGCGACGCAGAACATTGAATTACATCCTCCCGATATCTATATGCAATGATTCGTAAAGACGAATACAGCTGCAAGTGTTTCTTTCCTAAATGCAGAGCTGTGCTCGAATTGTCCAGGAACGCTTGACTACCTACAGACAGGTACCGAACTTTTGGTTCTCATCAGTGCAGGGGTGTCTCAGATGGCACTCATTACGAATCGTTGCGTAGATATCGGGAAGATATGATTCTATGTTTTGCGTGGCATATAGCCAGGAAAGTAGTTGTTTTTCTCTCGTTATCTACCATTTTCTGAACTATTGTGGTAATAACTTTGAGTGTCTCCCTCTATGTTACCATTTCATTCCACTTTGAGTATTTGGCATTTTCCTAGTTGAAAAAAAGCCAGTCGGTCAATCAGCCACTCCCATTTTTCTGAAATGGGAAGTTTCTTTCTTTCTCCTTTCTTTCTCATGTGGCGTTCGTGTTTATCTCGCAGATGCCGAACCTCTCGTGAGTATTAAATGCTGGGATGTGTTTACGGTTGGTCAGGTGCGCACCAGATGGCGGTCATGAATGCCACCTGAGACACCCCTGGACTGATGAGAGCTAAAAGCTCAGAACCGATCTATAGGTAGTCAAGCGTTCCTGAACAGTTTGAGCACAGCTCAGCATTTAGGAAACAATCACTTGCAGCTGTATTCGTCTTCAAGATTTGTGGCATAGGTATCAGGAGGAAGTAATTCAATGTTCTGCGTGGCATATGGCCAGGAAAGTAGTTCTTTTTTCTCGATATCTACCATTTTTGTTCATTTTAAGGACTATTGTGAAAATGACTGATTTTATCCCTCTTCAATGTACATTATATTCGGTATGCTTCTCCATATTTCCGATGGAAGTGGATCATGAAGCATCCTGAATAAAACCCCATCTCTGGACATCTCACAATAAGGTGTATATTGAGGAATAATTATTTACTTACGTCATTTTCTAACAAATTGAACATCCCCATTTGAGCTAGATGTAGTGACTCTGCAAACTTGTCTTCTGCCATCCTGATTTCATCATCTGGAATATTTGAACCTGTCATGTCGAGTAACAGGCCAAATCATGCGACATTAATACATGCTCAACTAAAATACTAAAGTAATAATGTCAAAAATTAACTAGGGGTGGGGGACTAGCTCACTGCTCAAACCACTTAATCATACTAGGGTACAAAGATCCCATTTTTTCCACGTCAACAATTATTCTCAAAATTCTCATCAGAGAATATGTTTCTAAGCATCTAAATTTCATACTATCATATAAGCATAACTGAAACTTCCTGAAATAAAGCACCAAATACTGGATTTGGATGCAATTTTGATGAAGAGGAATATGTATAGGATTTTCTATGAAGATGCTATCATTTCTAGCTATACGAGGAGAATCTGAGAATTATAGAACATACCATAAGCTGCTCCCTGTGACTTTACAGGGCTGGAAAATGGAGTAAGCACTCCTTTAGATGCTATATAAATCATGCTTATTATTGTTTCATGCTTCTCTGTGTATTTCGAAAAATGACACAGTGGAATACTATCAATGAATCCTTCAATGAATCCTAACAATGAAAAGTGATACCCAAAAATAAAAGTAACTCATTTTTTCATGCTAATAAATTATCAGGCACTAAACTCTGTGTCAAGAAAATCATATACAGGCTTTTGCTATTGATTTAACAAACGTAGATATTTTAAAATAATTCATAGTATGTTTTGCAAGTATGGGATGAAGAAGAGGTTGTTTGATTTCTATAAGTATTTAAAGTATTAAAAGTCATTTGATCGTAAAAACGACAGTAGAGTAAAGAAGTTTATTTGACCATGTTATATACTTATACAAGTACATTTATGGCAGGTCCTCGGGAGGGTCACAATACATTATAAATCATCAAACATTTTAGAAATCGAAGTATAGAAAAAAAATTATTTGATGAACTTGATAAACAAATGTTCATAATATGTAAATAAAAAAATATAGATCATGAACGGACGGAAATATTTTACCAGAGAAAATGGTCGAAAGTTTAATATGAATATGGGTTATAAATTGCTTCTATCGAGATACTGGGTGTCAAAAGTAAAGTTCCCGAGTTATTTTTGTGAACCCTTTCAAAATCATAAGATACGAAATTTGGTGTAGGTACCAAACTTCCCATGTTCTAGAAGATGCAGTAAAACTCTCAGTATAGTGGGCACAACAGGGAGCCTCTTAAATTGAATTTGCAGGAACTCATTCTTCTGTGTTTTTTTGCATCTCGAAATAAATGAAAACATTTTCATTCAATATGTTGGGAAACTTCTCGCACTATCGGAAGGGTCGGCCCTCTGGGGGGGAAGGGGCCTATGGGGGTGCCCTCCCCAATAAATTAGGAGTTGGGAGATTCGTGGTGTTCGCGGATGCCAAACAAACGAGATAGATTTTAAAACTGGTTGCTTTCTATATCTGTGTCATAATATTAGTAACACAATATTTCAACTATTGTTCAGAATGCCGTACGCCACTGTGACTCGTTGGATATTCAATATACAGTGTGGAAACCTACAAAGGGATACAATCCGTATCTCCATAACAAGAATGTATTTTGGAAAATCCTCCTTATTTTACATGAAAACTTTTGACCACCTCTGAACTTCCCACCTTACAGATCAACCCCTTAAGATGTTTTGAATTGTACCAGAGGGATCAAGTAACACCTCGTTGAAAAAGTATTCCGAATCTCTCTACAACGGTCTTTATTATATAATTTGGTTAAGTCATATCCGCAAGAGAGCCGGAAGATTGAAATTTTATTGGATTTTTTGTTCTAATTATTGGTAGGTAGGTTCTGTTTAATTGTATCACTTATACAGTTGATTTACCTACTTTCAAAATTAGTTTTTCATACTGAATATCTGTCTACGCATATGTTCAATGTAATGGTAGGTACTGTCTCATTACACATATGCGTAGATGGATATTAAGTATGAAAAACTCATTTTGAATGTAAGTAAATTAACTATACTAGTGATACAATGGAACATACCAACCATTACCAAAAATTTAGACTTAGACAACATTTTCAATGAATTTTCAATCTTTTGACTGCTCTCTTGCGTATATGGATAAACCGAATTAAAAAAAAAATAGTCCGCTGTATAGTGATTTGAAATACCTCTCTAACAAGGTGTAACTTTATCATTTGTTCAATTAAAAATATTGAAGGGGTCCATTTCTAAGGTAGATTGTTGACAGGTGGTTGACAATTTTCATGTAAAAAAATAGATTTTCCAAAATCGAGATACAGATTTTCCCCATCATAGATTTCCACACTGTATGATAAGTGCATGGACTAAAAGTTAAAAACATGAAGAATAGAAATTTTACAGTGAATCATTTCTCTGTTTCTTAAGCTGATGAGCGATGAGAGTTTATTTTTAGTTTTATTTCAGTGAACTCGGAACAATGTTGTTTTCTTGTTGTTGTTATTTGATCTTGTTTTTTTTTGCCTCAGATTGATTTCTGTTGATAGTGATGGAAACCTACTGATGATATACAGTGTCATTCATAAAGCCGGCATCTAATGGGAAACACTTTTAATAATAATTTATTTCGAAATTCTACTTGTGCGTTAGGTTTTACGTCAAAAAAATATGAAGAATAGTCTACTCGGTCGGAGTCACGTGATTTTGGTTACATGTCAAAAGTTATTTTTTTCAAATTAATCGGTTAAAGGTTAATTTGTGTGAATTTCAAAAAAGTTTGCGAACGAAAGTTGTTTCTCTTCCATGTAGCGGAAGTCACGTGACTACGACCAAACAGGCTGTTTCCATCTTTTTTTAAAGAAAACTTTTTCCCATATGATACCACCTTCATGAATGACACTGTATAGTTGGGAAAATCCCTGACTATCGGTGTTGAATTTTTCTTTGAGTTATGAGATTCTTTTTCCTGTGATTAAACCTATATGTTAATAGTTTATTATATTGAAAAAGTTGTGTGCAAATTCAACTATTCCACATAAAAACAACAATTATTGTATCATGTAGAGCAATGCCGAAATCTTCTTCGAATATATCTGGCATTTCAAAGATATTCACAAAAACCATCTTCAAAACATCATATTGAACACCCTGTATCTCGAGAATGAACCATGAAACTTTCAATCTGGTAGAATATTGTTGTCTAATTTCGGGAGACCCTATATAAAAAAGCTACTGCCTGGTAGAATCGAAGCCGCAATTCAGATTTGGTTTATAACCTTGTAACTTTGTCATGATATTGATAACCCCAAAAAAAATTATTATTGCCTACAGGGATGTAGAACGAATAAAATAAAACATGCGAACAAATGATTTCAGTTAAAATCAATCATATTTCTCAAATAATATCTCGGTTTTTCACGTGACAGATCGAAATATTTCAAAATTCCGTCTTGGTGATATAAAAAATATATGCTTGATGTCATTCAAATCTCGATTCAAATATTAAATCAAGTGGTTCCATACATATTCACCCGAAATATTGGGAATATAATGGGAACATGAAGGAAAAGTGTGCAAACTATGAATGAGCAGCTGGAAAACGATTGTAGAAAGCTGTTCAATTCATCAATGATAAACAATAATATGCTTGAAGCTACCATGAAGACGAGAAATACTGGAATGATATTAATACACACCTTTAGCTTGCCTTCTTCGTTTGCAATCGAAATCGAGTCTCCTGCCTTGTAATTTCTTCCGATGGTGCTAAAAATAACAAAAAAAATATACAGGGTGACATTTTGAAAATTTTTCACCCGCAATATCATCCTTCCAGTAAATAATATGAAAAATCGAGAAGACAGGTCAAGGGGGAGCACTTGAAATGCATATTTTTAGCCCTCTCAGTACAACCCCTAGGACATTTCAAGTCTCTTTCCAACAGTACCCTAGTTCATCATTTTTTGATGATCAGTTTCCGAAAAATGCCGTTCTAAACTTACAGAAGTAATTAGAACATGCCTGCATTCAGATGCATTCAAAAGTACCTATGCTAATATCGACAGGAGACATAACTTAGTTTATCGTTATTCACTCAAAACAAATGATCGAAGTTTCAGAATATTATAAACGTAATTACAAATCATTTAAGCAATTGTTATAGTTTTTTGGCTCTACTTTAGGTGTAAAGGAAGTATACAATGACATGAAATGGCTGCGTGCTGCTAAGGAAACATCAAGACTGAAAAGTTTATCATAGTAATCCCTGAACAACTGCTTTTTGTTTGTTTTGAGGGTGTGGCTACTGAGATTATTCCAAAGCTGTTCATGTCCAATAAACTTAAACATTTGCCTAATCTGTGCAACCCAGTTGTATTTTATATCTGATGCATCGATCAAACGAAGTTGTTGTTCGAAGCATATCTTAGGGTACCTATCACTGCTCATACTCAGAACCTTCTCTAGCCAGTTGAGGGTCATTTTGAATACATTGTGTGCGTATTTTACTCTTCCAGTATCAAGTCGTATAGCACAGTCAGGGGTATTGATGGGCACTAATAGGATTCTTTTCAGAAAAGTAATTTGCACTCTTTCTAGTATATCTAAATATCTCAAACTCCATACTGGTGCACAGTTGGACAAAGAACTGAGGGCCAGAGACTCAAAGATTTTGATTCGGGGATACCATGTGTCAATTTTAGCCTTGGTCATTATAGGCAATATTCAAAATAATGTACATCTTGACCCCCTTTTCATATGAGGTTCTAAGGGTAACATCTACCCCTCCTACGGGATTGAGCTAAGAGGGTTAAAATATACATTTTGAGTGTCTTCCTTGGAAATGAAATTAAAGTTAAAGGAAGATATTGAGTGTGGGAAGTTTTTTAAGTGACACGGCATTTTTCGGAAATTGCTCAACAAAAAATTATCAACTAGGGTATCGGTGGAAAGAGAATTGACCGCCCTTCAAAATGATATGCCACTTGAACCCCCCTCCCATTTGAGATTCTTAAGGTAACATCTACCCCTCCTAGGAGGTTGAACCGAGACGGCTAAAACTAATAACTTTTAGTGTCCCCCTAGAAAATAAAATCGACCTGTTTTTTCGACTTTTCAAAGTTTTTCGAAATGTCACCCTGTATGTACTATACAGGGTGATTCAGGTTTTAAGGCACAAACTAAAATGGGAGATACATCTCATCATTTTGATCGAAAAAGTTTAAATAAACATAAGTCCGATCTCGTTTATTAGCGGAGCTACAGGGGTCAAAGTTTAGTTATATTTTTCTATTAATTGAAATATCTCGCTTATTTTTCAAGATATCGTTTTGAAATTTGTTGTGGTCAATACTTTCTAGAAGATCATCATTTAAAGCCATTTAAAGATTTTTAAAATCTACAGGGAGATACGTTTTTGGGGGTAGAGGCTTCTTTATCCCCCCCAAACTTTTTCGTAGTACGTCTCTGGCATCTTTCAGTGATCAAATTGTGTGTTCAGCTCAATCTACAGGCTTTTTCGCCCTTCCATTTTTTTCGAGAAACAAACCAGTTTTGAGATAAATAAGCATTGACACCCTGTAGCTCTGCTGTTGAACGAGATCGGACTAATGTTTTGATTAAAATGATGAGATCTATCTTCAATTTTAGTTTGTGCCTTGAAACCTGAATTACCCTGTATAGCTAAACCAGATAGACAAATTATGTTTCAAAAATGTCATTCATTTCAGAGGACTTGAAAAAACCTAGAGGCATTAAGAGTATAAACGCCCAAAGCTCTGTTCTGTTACTCAACATACCCTGCCCTGGTATTAAATGTTTTATTAAAACATTTTTACTAAATACCGACAACGTTTCCTTTTCATCATGTTAACTGCGCGTGACCTTTGTGAAACTTTACTGGGTAGCCAAAACTTTTCAGCTGCTTTCATACAAAACCTAACAACTTTTTGAAATGTTGTGGGATGGAATTACAGTTCTGCATGGAATCTCGTGTAAAATATTCCAATTAAGACTAAACACTGACAAAAAGTATTGCCCGCCTGATAAGTGTTCTGGTGAACACGAGTTACACTGAATGATTATTGAGAACCAGTCAGATAATTCGACACTCGTTGAAATTTTGCACCAGTATGTTGAAAGGTGCACTGTGGGTTGGGAATCGGCAAGAATAAGGCAACTCGAGTATTGAAATTGGAACTCTTCATTTTTGAATTCACCCTATATTGGGTCAGCGCTTTGATGGCTATCGGACAACCTATCGGACATGATATAGTGATTTTGAACTGGACACAGTTCCCGATGGCCGAAGATAATAGACACTCTATAGAGTTGTTTCCACCTGAAAGATGCTTTATAATTTGCACATTCAGTTCCATTTTCGATTTTTGAGCTATCCCATATAACCCACATTATGGATCATTAAGTGAAATATCCAACACACTATGTAACAATAATAAAACCGCGTATTAGAATTTTTGATTTCCCTAAAACTAAGCTCAGTCGCGGTTGCTACCGTTACGGCGTTGCCACGGCCTATTGCTCTTATTGGCCATGAACGTGTTCAAGAGCATATTGAATATTCTCCGATCGTTATCAAAACGCTTCTTCACAGACGAAATAATGATCTTGTAGTTAATGCACGTTGAGATCTATGTGATTTCGCGCTTTCTTCGATTTTCATAGAAAAACTCACTTCGGGTTTTACGTGTACCAATGCTTGTAAGGTTCGTACCTCAGACTAAATAACAATAGATTAACCCCGCGATTAATTAATCAATCTTCAGAGTATATGCCAACAATCCTAAACGCCAAACATGGATAAATGGATGATGGCGAATGGTGAGGATACCTTTGCGGAAATTAATATTTTTAATAAATATATTTAATATTTCTAGTAAATCGAGATTTCATGTTCATAAATGTATTAACTCTCGCTCCACGTCATTTTATATCGTATTAGTAAGGATATTTGTTACTTTCAAGATTTCGAACACAATTTTCATCCCCAAGAACAAGAATTCAACTATTTTTAATAGATCTGACACTGCCAAACCATATCTATTCACCAAATAGTCTGCTTTAGTTTCATAATACCAAGTGAGTTACTGAAACACCGAAAACTAATCACACAAAAGCCGGAAAACAATGTGAATAAAAAAAACTACAAATGACATGTTTTACAATGATTAGTGCTTGTCTACTACGAAACTTTGTGGTGCCATCACGTTCATCTTGTATTAATTTCTATTCTTCAATTTTTTATGTACTTTACACTAACTAATAAGTTTATAATTAGTAGTCGTGAGTTTCTGACAATCATGTTGTTATGGTTATATTATTTTATTATATCACGACATGTCAGATGTTTTATCCAAAAAATCCTCTAGAATTGTCGATTTGGCAGCAGTTCCACAGAGGTCCCTAGAATGAGAACACGAAATAACCAAAATAATTCTTTATGTTCAACAAGTTACTCCGTTCGCACTGTCGAATCTCATATATTTGATCCTGGGGAATGAGTGAAAACTATTTAATTCGAAAGTTTTTATGCTCCAAAAGAGAGATCTTCGATACATGTGCAAACCCGGTTCAAGGGACTACTTTTGCTTCATGGAATATTGTCCCCGGCCTGCATTTTCATGATGGAAACCGTATGCTTAGTCCAAAAAATATATAAGGAATTCAGATACGTTATGTCAATTCATACTACCCACAGCTCTTCCCCAAACATCAAATTGTCTATTCCCTTATCAACTCTAACTAAGAAATATATAATCTACTGAAGCAAGAAATTATTCCATCATTTGCCTTTGCACCAAAAAACAATTGAAATCGTAAAGGAAATCGAATGAGCAAATTTCCGACATTCTAATTTTCATTCCTCTGTATAGTTAATGATAATTCATTGAAAACATATTTTTTATTTTTGAAATTTAAAGGGAAGTGGTAAAAAAAGTTCCTTTTAGAGGAAGCTTGTTATAACCTAAACGAATGAGCACATTTCCGACATTGAAATTTTCATTCCTCTGTATAGTTTATGAGAATTCATTGAACACATATTTTGTATTTTAGTCGTGCGATCACGCTTGAGTTCAGAAAAAAATCGTGAAGATATAGTTTCGGCTCCTCCACCATTTCCATAACGTACTATTCACTATCAATGAATCTAATGAATCGGAATATTTCGCTCTAATATCATAGTTAGCAATGGTACCTGAAATGACGTATTCAACAAATAGCATGGGTGGAAATTGGATTATTTCTTGAAATTATATACCGAAATATTAGAACTGCATAATAATTTACGATTATAAAATTATGGGTATATACAAAATAATAATGATGCTGAAATCATTAAGGTTGAACATTCTGATATAAATTACAAATTGATAACTTTGTCTGGCAACAGTGGCTGTAAACCTGATTTACACCATACTGAGATGTAGTTTGTTCACATTTTTGTTGAAGGTTTGAGGTTAGACCATACTGACGGCTTTATTCTTATTTTCGAGTACGAAGGCGTACAGGAAATGAGTCAAGAAGAAGTAGAACGTCATAGTCTGCTTCTTTAATAATTCAAAATTGCTGTATTTTGAAAATAAAAAAAATTGAATAATTTGAATAGCCATTTTAGACATCAGAAACCTAATACTAGGTAGTTTAATAATCATTCTATGATAATTCGTTCGAGAGAAACTTCCTCATTCTACCAGATTTCCTAATTTTCATTATTTTTATAATAATGATATCTGTTTCATATTGGTAATACGCAATATTGGGCTATACCGATAAACAATTTCCAGTAAGTGAACTATCTTCTAGAATTCGGGAATCTTTGGTAACAGGCAGTTCATCTGCCACTACCAACGAATTTGTGAATGATTAGTAATATTTTCGTATTTTATATTCATCATTTATATTCATTTCATTTATAAGACTATGCACTATTCTCTTCGTCTATCCATATTTTTATTAAACTGCTGTCGAAATAAATATTTAATCACCAGTTATGTAACTTTTCACTTTACCCAACAACGGTTACGTAAAGTGAGACGTTTCCAAATTTCCATCAGTTTTAAAAAGTGACAAATTACGAAATTACATGTCAAACTTAGAAGCATGATGAAAATAGACTGGTGTAACCACTTGTCAATTGTTTCTTTCAAAAACGTGTAGACCACGAAACACCGTAGCAAGGCCGCACCGGATTGACTGTAGATGGCGTAGGGAACATCGTGCCACATATACTTCACAGATATAATGAAAATTTCACGTCTTTTTCATTAAATCAATCACTTTTGCTCAATGTTTTTATATTACGAATCAATATACGTAAATGTAAACAACAAAACATAACAACCATTCTGTAGCAAGATCACTTCGGGAACAGCGCCATCTAGCGTTAGTTTTGCGCGGCCTTACTACGGTGATAGAATTCGACATAATCAAGTAGGCCAAAGGTCTACAAAAATGTCTACGGTTTTGTAAGAGGGAGCTATTTCACCATACATATATCCACCTTTCTTAGAAGTATACAGTTTGATTCGATATGTATCTCTACTCCCTACGACTCACCATCACCTCCTTCAAGTCCTTGGTCTGCAGATGGTGCAGCGGCTCCAAGAAGTTCTGCTTGATATTATCGTCCAGCGAATACTTCACGTCCGCCATTTGCTTCAGCCCCTCGCCCATCTCCACCAACGCCAGCCCGAACAGGCTGTCGTCGCCCAACTTCCTGCCGTACATCAGCATGCAGTCCCCCAAAACCCCCTCGGGCTGCGGGTACGTGTTCGACTTCGCCTGCCCGCTCAGCTTGCTGATACCCTTCACGGCGGCCATCTTGGCGCGCGCCGTCGGGTTCGGCTGCAGGAACTCCTTGGTCTTGACCTGGAGCTCTTCGACCAGCTCGTAGGTGACGTCTGTTTTCTAGCAGGAAGAAACAAGTTTCGGGTTGTATCGGATGTAACATTGATATTGTGGGAAATATAGAAGAAAATGATGTGAATGGGGTTGTACACACTATTAGAATTTACGTCACAAACCCAGTGTTGCCACAAATGTTTTTTCGAGCGAGCTACGCTGTCAAAAACCAGCGAGATTTTGACTCAAAGAGCGAGATTATGTCGATGAAATGAATGAACATTAACTCACAACACATTACTATGTAGGTACATAAATGAATATAAAAATGAAAATTCCAATTTTCTTCACGTTTTTGATATTTTTTTTTGAAAGTTGTTCCATCTATCAGACTCTTATTCATTGAATTATTCATGACAAAGCATGATGCCTTAACTGATCGAAGAGTAACAAGAGTTGATTCCTTGTCGAGTTAACAAAGAGAATCATGCAACCGACCCTAAGCATCCTAATTATGATATTTGAATGGACATCAGTTTTCAAGGCTATGCGGTCGAATGTTTAGTTTATAAAATGATGGAAAGAAGCACAACTGATGCGCTTTTATTTCAGAAATTCTTCTCGACCTCTAGAGAACAATGATTTTGGCGATTTTCTAATAGCTGGTGACATTGAAAAATTATGACATCTGTCAATTTTGAAGTTTCACGTACCTAAATTGCCATTTGCCATTTTATTTTCACTCGTCACACGCACTACAGCAGCAATAGCAGCATCACCATCTAGCGGAAAAAAGTCTCGCTCCATGTGACGTAGAGAAATCATAGTGAGCGGTCGAGTGATTCTTCTTCAGTTTTCAATACGTAAAAATGGCCACGCGCACATTCTACCTATTTCCATCATTGTTTATTGTAGGAACAATTAATTTATCGCTTGTGTTAAGACCATCTATGCTAATACAGCTGAGCTTTGAAGAAATATGAACTCCGGTATCCCATATTGTGCCCAATCTATGTGGCATATTAGCTGAGATGAAAACGAGCGAGATTTGACAAAGAGGAGCGAGAGAGTGAACTACTGACAAAACGAGCGAGATCTCGCTTAATCGAGCGGGCTGTGGCAACGCTGTACAAACCTATTTTATATTGATCATTGCGTGTATTAATAGTATTTGATGCAATCATTCGTTATTTCAATTCAATCAACTTTCTTATTCCCAGGAAACAACATTTGTTTAAAGCAGGGAACATGGTGAATATATAAATATATTTGACAAAATAAAATAAAGAAGACAGTAACATAAGACTCACACTCAAGAAGAATCTTTTTCTTTCAAGTTCAACTGAAAATGAGTCTCAATTGACTTAGCTGTTAGGTACCCGATAGAAAACTATAGTAGTTGTACAAGAGAACTATAAAAATGAGATAAGATGTCAATATTACAGGAGTCGATGTTTCTTGAATTCTTTTTTAAATTTTTCAATCCTATTAATCAGCTTCAAATTATTTGGTAGTGAATTGTATTGTATCATTCCATTGTGATAGATGGATTTTTTACCAATATTTGATTTAATTTTCTTGACAGAAAAATGATCTGCTTGTCTAGTTGTATGGTTGTGGTGATTACTATTAATTTGGAAAACCATCGCAAATATATTTTTTTCAATAATGAAATTCGGCACCTTCGAAAAATACCAGCTTCGATGACGTCATGAACCGAACCGAAAGTATATCATCGTTGAATTCTGACTTTCGCATAAAAAGTTGGACCACATATTCCGACGCTGCCAGATTTGTAACTAGTATTTACCTTATGAGATTCAATGAAATGACCAATGACAACAGTATTCACATTCACAGAAGACAATAGTTCGACCTGGTCCCTAATAATCACTCATTGAATACTACTACTAAAATATCCTAGAATTCCTAAAGATGATACGGACTCCATTTAATCCCAAATTATTTTGGAGCCTTGACAACAGCGTAATGCCTAAAGTTTCCAGAAATGAAAGATGAGAAGAAAAAGACGAACTACACTGCCAATCTAACTTCTTAACGTCACCTTCATCTCCAAATCCTTGTTTCATCTATTCAAGATGCGAATATTCAAAGGAATTCCTCTTATTATCTCATTCTTCAGTTGTGTGTTGTGTTCTCTGTTATCTGCAGTAAGTATTCAGTTCAGGAAATTCACTAGAGTCTAGGGCGAGTACCTTCTGAGGAGGCGAACTTTTTTCATATTTTGATTGAAATGACAATCAGAAATATTCTTGCACTTGTCTTACAGAAATAGAGAATAGATAGATATGTCGGATGTCATCAATCCTTTTTCCAACTTTGATCGTCAATATCTTCCGTTAGCGAAAAGCTACCACGTTTGCAGTTTTCGTTGGTCTGTTGAGATTCAATTTCTCTATTTGATCGTGTAATCTTATGCATACATTACATTTTTAATTCACGATATCTATTGATACTCCAGATCACGCCAACAGCCGTTCTTAGTTGTTCACCTGGTACTTAAAAATAATGAAATAAAATTTTTCACGGAAACAGGCTCATTGTAATCTTGCTTTGTAGGTACTTATTCGAATAACAAAAATACTATTTTTCTTCACGTGCATGCTTCAACCATTTGAATAGAAACATGAAAACTAATAATAAATCATTTCTTTCACTCATTTGCTCAAATCAATGTTTAATAAACCTGATTACTAAAAAAATACTTATTAGGTTGATAATTTGTAAATACCTTCATTCCATTTATTGATGGGTAATACCCAATTCAATCAATTTGAATTTTTTTTGAAGGTAGTTCCTAACGCAATCCTCAATTTCGTTAAGAAATTGGATATACAGGGAGAAATATAACCCTAGGGTGAGCCACAATAGGCCAATGGCCGCAGTGGAGGGCCTGACAATAGGCCCACTCACGTTCAACCTAACCTAACCTAACCTATTAGGTTGATAATTTGTAAATACCTTCATTCCATTTATTGATGGGTAATACCCAATTCAATCAATTTGAATTTTTTTTGAAGGTAGTTCCTACATGAATATTATTTGAATTTATGCTTCAACAACTTGAGTCCTTTATAGTTGAACTTCTCATGGTTACATCTGTGAAAATCAACTGCAAAATGTTGAGTGTTTCTAGTTACTCTAGCCATAGATCAAAGATGCTTTAGCTGATGGAGGCGAATTCGATATGCTCAAAGTGATCGAGAAAACTATTGCATTTGTTTACATGTAGGTAACTCAAATGTAATTGTCAGAACACCATTTGACAGATGACAGGTCGTTTCGTGCAAAAAATCTAGAGATCATCTACAAAAATTATAACATTTGAATGCTGAAATATTTTCTTGTTAATAAAAATATGGAACAAGAAGTTGACTAGCCCTTGCGGAACTCCTGAAATTACATGTAATCTCTAAGATGATTCAAAATAAAAGAATCCGGTTGGTTAGAAAAGTGAGGTGTGTAGGAATTCAATTCTGAATATAATATATAGTTTTTAATTACACTCATGTTTTGTGTACATTATATTCGATTAAACTATCTATTTCAAAAATCGACACAGATGCTAGTCATGACATCTATAAAGTATTATGCAACAGTGTCAAAAATATTTGAAATCTTGCCAGATGTGAGTCATATCTGATATGATAGGATAGGACAAAACCTACTAAATCACTTTTCTTCCGAAATCAAGTCCGATATACATAAATATGTGTAGATAATTCAGTGATATCTAAAGAACCCTTCTGGTTATTAAAATATCAATTCGAAACTAACGAACAAAACTGCTAACCAGTTTAACAGATATCCATTTTCATCTTTTTTTTATCGAATTGATTAATCCGCGATAAATTCATTTGGTGATCATTTCAAACTTACCCGTTCCATATCCTGGAAGTCCAGATCCAGCTTTGTTCCTTCTGCACCTCCCATTTTTTCTGTGACATACTGAAACAAGAATACATTTTTGTCAAATGATTTTTTTTCACATCTTCCAATATGAGGTGGAATCTAAACGTGAGAGAATTCACGGCCAAATTTTCAATGCATCTTATATTTACTTTCAATTGTCTCGGCCGAGTATTTTCAATTGAAAAAGCCTCTTTGTTTGTAAGAAAATAGTAGAAATCTTATCGTTTGCGGAGTTTAATTCACATCGTTGATTTTCATAAACAAATTTGTTGGTCCCTAGAGAATTGAGGGATTGGGGCACGAAGGGCCTAAGCCATATTTTTGTTTTGATGGTCCCTTGCAACGATCAATCTTATTTCAAAATCAGCCAAAGATTCACCCTTTGAAGATTGTACAAGTACTCAGTTAACACCCTGTATATGAAAGCAAATCTTAGATATCATTGCATGCCCGTGCCTCAGAATACCCAACAATCCCGTTCTACCTATCCGTACAATTATTTTGGAACTTTGAACAAGTTCAATTTGTATATTAGAATATTATAGACTATTTATAAAATATCATGAATATCCTCAAATCGATTTGGTTAACATCTGGGTTAAAATTCGATAGTTACTTGAAGGAATGAAGCGCTTATTTAGCCCTAACTAGATTGAAATTATTAGGTACAGTGGCATCTCAGTGAGAAAAACAAGTACACCACGATTTTTTTGTAGTTCCCTATTTTTTAAAGATTAAGCAACCAAGAATACAACTTTTTGGTCTTTTGTGTTTCCTTCATATCTAGCTTCGTTTTCGAGAAAGAAGAATTGAAGGCACTCTATTGCATATCATGAACATGAAAATAAATTTGATTTTTTATTAATATAAGCGATACATTATATGAACTCTGTAGTTGTAAAGTAATAGTAATTACAGATAAAATATAATCATGCAATAGCAGCAAGCAGCTATTATATTTTCATGATATACCTGGTTGTTGAATTAGCGATGATAAACGTCCACTGTCAAATATGGAGCAATGAAATGAAAAATATACATATACTTACCAGGTCTCACGTTAAAAAACTGCCAATTAAATTTTAACTTGAATGAGTATCATCTTGTATATTTATGACGATTGTAAAAGAAGGGTTTTCGAATAATAAATACGAAGACTTTTCTCGAAATAATGTTGGTACGACAAATAATAGGTTTGTTCCATACTCTAGTAACGCTGCAGATTTTCAAACACAACTATATATCTACAAATTAGAAGCAGCCACTGAGTCAGAGAAATATTGGGAGCCTAATTTAATATTGTTTGAAGACGACAAAGGTAATTACACTAATTACAGTTTCCTCTACATTTTCTTTGGCACCGCCTCACTAGATGCCAAGATAGGTGGATTTCCTTCGGTGTTTTCAGCGGGTCGTTGAAATAATAATCGAATCAAATAGGGAAAACTGGGGAACACTGAATGGAGCAGAGAGCAGAGTTGAGGACTACCCTCAACGGGGAAGTAGTCAAGTGGCAAAGTTGGAACGAAATGTGTGATGGTGTATTATTCGACTCGAATAAAATGTTCGGAATACTTCTATTCAAAGTGGATGCCATTAGTGACAATCTAATAATACATATATTATTTGTTTACGTGTGTCCTTAAGGTATGCAATAAATTCAATGTTTCCTAAACTAAACTAAAAAAGACGTAACTATGTTTTCAATCTCAATGTTCTACATTTCACAAAAAAATTTCATTATACAGGATGATACAGATTGAATTGATGACGTCATCGGCAATTTTTTCAAATGCAACACCCTGTATTTCGCGACATTTTTAGATCAATAAAATTAAGCTAATTTCAAACTGGTATGATTGGTGCTTGGGGTCTGGTGGACAAAATACGATACCCGCAAGAGGTAAATGTATGGGCTGGCATTGTGAGAAATATAATCATCGGACCCTACTTATTTTCCAGATTTGAAGGGTTTATCTCGTACCTATTTCAATTAATTTATTCCCCAGTAGAATTAATCCTGGAGGTTTAGATGGAAGCATGCTGGAAATATAAACTACTCAACACTAATTTCGTCGCACACCAAAATGTCGCTTCTGTTATAATGTGAATAACTTTTTTCAGTTCAGAACAATTCGAATTTGGTCCACACTGTTCGATAGCCCAGTCCTTCAGCTATTATCTGGTACTTCATTGAAACATAAGGGTATTCACATAAAATCTCTACATGGTGTTTTCCGACACTGTGCAAAATTTCGGAATATTCAAAAGGCTCTCAAATGGTGAAAAAATGTTTTTTCCCAACCTCGACAACAGAGGCATGAAGATGATCTCATTACCTCGAGATATTTCGCGATTCAACTTCCTATCTCTCATATTTACAGAGTGATCTCAAAAAATCAACTTTTTGGTTTTGCAGCCATAACTTTTTTCCACGTCAACCGATTTTGGAAATCTTAGGCTCATTTTGAAGATAAAACTTCAGATGAAGAGATCTGAATATCAGAATTGACTCAAGATGACTATCAAAGATCTAGAGTTTTCTTGAAAGTGACCCAAATCTGGAACGCCCTCCGAATCTCGGTTGGGAGGAGAATTGAATGAAAATCAACTTGTTCTCGGAAAAACAATTCATTCTGGATGCGTCCATATTTTCCTCGCTCTCAGTACTCAAGAATGTGCGTGAGAAAACACAATTGAAACATGTTCTTGCAAAAACATCAGACCATTTCTCCTCTGTAATGCATGGCCCGTAACCAACGTTACAAGAATCACAGTAAGTGACTGACAAGTCAGGTTAGACGTCGTTTTCGAATCATAAACAGATTTTGATAGTTTCGATGCCGCATCTTACGCCCGACCAGTTGGAACTGATTCCACAAATGAGGGAACAAGGATTATCTTCCCTTCAAATCGCGGATCTGCTAAATACGACGGTCCGATCCATTCAAAGGGCTTATCTCCGACACGAATTTTTGGGTTATTACTGTCGATTCGTTCGGCGCATTATTGCGACTGAAAACTTCACGTAATTGGCAAACTGTTTTCGTGAAACTTTCACCATTTTTGAAATGCGTTTTTACAATAAATAAACGTTGTTTGCTTGAATACTGCTCCATATTCTTAAATCGCATGTTATGTACGTGACAACTGTTAAAAAAATCACTTTATTGAAGAAATCAAAATCCGTTGCTCTTGTTGGTACACCATTTATGAAGAGCCTCAGCTGGTCGGGTTTGTTAGTCACTCATTGTAATTCTTGTAACGTTGGTTACGGCGGGCCATGCATTACAGAGGAGAAATGACTTAATGTTTTTGCAATCGAACAGTGTGAACCAAATTCAAATTGTTCTAAACTGAAAAAAGTTATTCACATTATAACAGGGGCGACATTTTGGTGTGCGACGAAATTAGTGTTGAGTAGTTTAGTAAGGTGGGAGAAAAACAATGGGCGAGTGGACTGATAATGAATTATTGGCATTCAATTACTCCACTGTGTCGTTAGGAACCTAAAATTAATTTTTGCAACACTTCTCACGCTTTTCTATGTACCGGGTGTACCACTAAGAACGGACGCCGGCTGTATCTCGGAAACTATTTGCCGCACAGGTTTCGGAAAAAAATATTTATGATAAAAGTGGCCAAGAAAAATTTCTGGAAATTATTTTCAATTTTCCAGGACAGCCGCTAGAGGGCATAATTGCATTGGCCAACTTAAAAATCGGGTTTTTATCAAAATTTGATATATCAAGACATATCAGAAACACTTTTTCCATGTTCTCGAGTTGATTTCCAATTATTTCGATCAAAAAAAAAATTAACTAGCTCTTTAAATAAAAGAGGGAGGGAAGGATGAATAGTACTCTGGAAAAACTCTTATTACTACAGTTTGGTGTAACGGAATTAAGCGATCTTGGTCTCATTATGAAGGGTTTTTTCAGATCTTCCCGATGAATCACGAATCAAGTCGATTTAAACGTGGTGGCCGCTAGATGGCATCGTTTGAAAAATCAGCCGATGCGCATTTTTTTTTCGAGAATTTCAAATGGAACCATAAATTTTCCCTGCTATGATATGAAAGTTGAATGAACGAGAAGAAAAAAGGTGACAAACCGCGAGTTGATACCTTTTGAAGAACCGGAGAATACTCGAATATTAAAATTTAAACTGTTAGCACGTCAAATGCCTCCTCATTCGTTATCGGCATTTTGACAAATGAGCAATCCACAATGAACAGTGAAAACTTCCAATGGAACTTCAATTATATTTTGACGTTTCTTTCATTCAAATTAGCTATGTCATTACTAAGAGTCTCCTTCACTATTGTGAGATATAACAGCAGTTTGTGAACCAAAATAAATGAATTATTGAAATCATAATTTCATAGATACAGGATATTTCAGATTACGATTATTGAAGTTAGATTCCTGTGGTGAATATTTTCATAATATTATTTCGAGTATTTCACCGGTTCCTCAAGAGGTATCAATTCGCGGTTTTCACCATTTTCCTTCTCGTTTGCTCTACTTTCATATTAGAGTAGAATGAATATATTTGAAATTTTCGAAGAAAATGGAAAATTGTCTGATTCTTTCAAACGATGCCATCTAGCGGCCACCACAGGATTTGAATCGACTTGATTCGTGATTCATCTGGAAGAACCAGAAAAACCCTTCATAATGAGACCAAGATCGTTGAATTCCGTCACACCAAACTGTAGTAATAAGAGTTTTTTCCTCCCTCTTTTATTCAAAGAGCTAGCGCAATTTCTTTTCATCGAAATGATTGGAAATCAACTCGAGAACACGAAAAAAGTGTTTCTGATGTTTCTTGATATATCACATTTACATAAAAAAACCCGTTTATTGAACTGGCCAATGCAATTACGCCCTCTAGGGGCTGTCCTGGAAAATAATTTCCAGAGATTTTTCTTGGCCACTTTTAACATAAATATTTTTTTCCGAAACCTGTGCGGCAAATAGTTTCCGAGATACAGCCGGCGTCCTTTCTTAGTGGTACACCCGGTACATAATGAG